TACCCTACAATTTGGGTACGCAAGGATTCCATTGGGGCCATGTGTTGAAGGGTGGGATGTCGTACAACACCCGGTCGTATATGCCTTGATTACAAATATCTCTTTTGGTGAAAGGGTGGGGGGAGTGGTGGGGGGTGAGGGGGTGCTGTGGGGAGCTCTGCGTACTGACCATTACGCTCGACCGGCTTGTCAGGGACTGGAGCCGAGAGCCTGTGATCGATACGCAGAGGGGTGGGTTGTGGAGAGGAGAACTGTAGGCCAAACCTCTGAAGGACCTGGCGAAGTCAGGTAGAGGCGAAGTCAGCACCGGCAGCGACAAGAGACGAGAGAATGGAGACAGGAACAGAAGGGTCGGAAACAAGAGAGGCCAGGACACGAGGAACAAGAGGGCGAGCAGCACAGAGGAGGTCAGAGAGAGGAGGAGATGAGACAGTGAGGGACGACTCAGGAGGCGACAGGGGAACAGGAGCGGGAGGAGTACGAGGCATGTGAGAACGAAAAAATATAGGGTGGACACTTGGAATGGGAGAAACGGGGTGGGCACGAGAGGGACGGTGAGCTTAGAAGAGGGAGGGTGTGAGAGTACAACCCCGTTACACCACTTGGCCTTTCCTTATTTCCTTCCTATTTCATTTCTCTTTTTATCTCATCTCATTTGGTTTCCTATTCTCCTTTTTCCATTAACCTTTGGTTTATCCTGCTATTATAATTATATCACTGACCAGGCTTGGGATGTACTGGTGCGCTATATCTAGCGTCATCCTGCCGTAATCACTTAAAGCCAATAGCCTCGCGTGGTTATACGCAGAAACTGGCTACTGCTGCGACTGCTGCTGCTGCTCCATGCCCACACCAAGACCTCCAACCCCACCGCAGCTACCGGCCGGAACTCGTCAAGACAGCACCTCCAGGACCAGCACCCCCCTCAGAACCAGCACTCCCAGTGCCAACACCCCCAGAGCCCATGCTACGGCAGCGGTGACTGCTGCTGTTGCTGTGGCGGAGGCACCGGGGCCGGGGATGTAGGTGCCGCTGAGACAGACGGCACACCCATAGCCACGGGACCCCCAGAGTAAGAAGACCCCGCCGCCAGACCAACCGAAGGAAGGGGAGTGATGTGAGACACACCAGATGGGGCAAGACGGGGAGGGAAGGGAGCGGGAGCTACCCGGGAAGTGGCGTCAAGGAACAGGGGCGTGGTAACGGGAAGACCTCGGTGGGGGAAGCTGGTGTAGAAGGAGACATACTCGTCAAATATGATGTCACGCGAGTGGAGGAAACGGTGAGACGGCGGGTGGTAAATGTGTCTGTCAGTAGCGTCAATGGGGAAACCAAGGAAGACACAAGGGACAGTGCGGGCGATGAACTTGTCCACGCGAGAGTCGCGGACGTGAGCTAGGCAGTCCCAGACTTGAAACGCAGACGCGTCAGTAGGGGACCTGGTCCAGAGGAGGGTCGGCGAACCCTGCAGGCGCGAAGCGCGGGCCTTAGGTTAAGTTGGTGGGCGGCGTAGCGGACTCTGAACGGTCACAAAAAACGGGGTGGACCAGCATAGATCATGGAGATTAGAGCCACCTCCATGTCCGAACCGATGCATTGCTCAGCGATCCCATTCTTCTGTGGGGAGTCCGGGAGTGTGTACGATTGGGTATGCCATCTGTACGACAGAACTGGCCAAGTCGACCGGAGGCAAACTCACCTCCACGGTAAGTGTAGATGAAGCACAGGTTGGGCGCAGTGGACTCGGCCAACTACAAGCCACGGGATAAGAACGCCAGGCACGTCGGTCTTCCACTCTAGGGGAAACACCGTGGTGTAACGCGAGTAGTCGTCAACGAGAACCAGGAAGTACCGCTCGCAGCACGGCTCAGGGATCGGGGTTGGGCCCCAAACGTCCATGTGCATGGTCTGAAGTGGCGCAGTGGCGGGGGGAAACGAGGAGGAGTGAGGAGCAGTGCACTGCCGCCCCTCGATGCAAAGCGTACATGGAGGCGCGGGCGAGGGAGGGAGTGAAGGGAGAGATGCAGGGAGACCTAAGATAAGACCGTGCTGTGACATGTGACGGAGACACGGGAGAGCAAGATGACCGAGACGGTAGTGCCATTGTAGTGATGGGTGAGTGAGCGAGCGACTCGAGCAAGCCGCAGCGACCTACGTAGATACAGCCACCTGGGGGAACGCAGCCACCTTGGGGGACGCGGTGAGCAACGTGAATAGGCCAGACACAGGGTCCCAGGGAAACGTGGTGAGGGGAGCACCAGTGGCGGCCTCAATACAGATTGCGTACCGCTCGTATCCAGGAAACGTGGTGGTGATGTTGAGGCCCTGAAGACGCCCTACACCAACCAGGATCCTGGAAAACGAGGGGATGTGCAGACATGTAAGAGAGCCAGAGGGAAACGCCAGATAGGGAAGTGTGGTGGAGCTGCGTGCGACTACCGGACCTGTAGAGGGGTCCGCAAGGGAGACGGCCACTGGTGTTGAAAGAGGCGTGAGAGTGGTGTGGTCGCGAAAAAAGCCGACGGATGCACCAGAGTCCAATGTGAAGGAGCGCGTGGCGGTAGCGCTGGCCGGATGAAACCAAGGCTACACAAAACAGGATGTCATACACAAGGCAAACTAGGATAATAGCAGCATACACATCATGTGTAGCAGATCCTATTTGATCCATATCCAGCTCAAAGTTCGGCACATGACGACGCATCTTGCCAGGACAATCCGGGAGGGTCTGCGTGGGCCCGAAGCGCAGACGCAAGAGGTCGTTGAGGCAGTGGTAGCAGAGGGCAGCGGTGTGACCGGTGCGGCCACAAACGGCGCAACGGAGAGGACCAGACAGAATCTGGTACTGAGCCACCACCCGACGTCCAGCTGCCAGGGCTGCCTCTGTGGCCACCACCACCGAAGTTGCCTGGCCCCCACGGCGGCGGGGGGCCCCACTTTTGCTGGGGCAGGGGCCCCCACTGCTGCTGCTGCTACGGCGGCTGCTGCTGCTGCTCCCCTTGGGTGGCCGCCGCGACCCCCTCATCCGCACGTTAAGTGCTCCCATTACCCCCACCATCTCTACCACCCCCACCACCCGAGCACCCTTCCCCCCCCCACGCCCCCCCTTAGGGTGACGAGGGCCTCTACCTTGACGATGCTGCGTTGAGGCCGCTGCAGCGATCTTAGCGACAATGGTTGTCGCAGCGACTTCGGCAGAAACGTCGGAGTAAGTGCACCAGGAAGGAGCACAACTCTTGAACATAGGGATAGCCGCTTTACTGCTACTGAGCGATAGTGCGCTGACGGGTCTTTATCGCCGACAGGGTGGCGACAAAGTCGTCTAGGGTGACGCCAACGGGGTGTTTACCAAGGAAGGTGTGACAGGCGGTTGTTAGGCGGTCCGGGAGGCACGTGGCTAGAAAATAAAGGGTGGCGCCGAGGGGAGGGGGGAGTACAGTGAGCTGAGCCTCAGTGCTAGTAGTGCGGTAGCTAGACTCGAAGGTGCGCAGGTGGTTGGCCAGATCAACGACAGTGGGGAAGGAAGCTAGGTCAGGGAAGAGCAAGGGCAGGAGGAGACGGCCAGCAGAGGCGGAGTAGGGAGTGGAATAGTGAGCGATAACAACGTCTAGATACTCCTTCGCATTGTCTATGGCCTGAAAGCGGGGACGCTCGGACCGCGGGAGGGCAGGGCAACTTACCGTCGACGCGGACAGCCAGAGACTGCCGTCATGGCGCTAACCCTTCAGTTGGCGGCACAGGTTGGCAAGCCACGCATCGAAATCCACCGCGTGACCCTCTGCGTCCAAGAGGACGGCGTCCGCCATCGCGCACGCGTGTCAGCAGAGGCGGCCGCGTCTCACCAGCAGCAGTCGCATGACAGCACTGTTGCAATATCTGAAAGACACAAGAGGAGGAGGATCCGGGAGCAAGCGGGTGCGGAGTAGTGCGTTGGAGAGCCGGGGAGTGCGGTGGAGGACGGTGAAGCGCGGTAGTGTGCACGGAGGAACCGGGATCGGGGGCGCACGACGCGCGGCCCGACGGGGAGCTGGGGCCTGCGCGGCTTGTGCAGGGGCTCGTGCGACGGCGAGCAGGGGCTGGTGCGGCGTCAAGCAGGGACCGGCGCGACGTCGAGCAGGGGCCGGCGCGGAGTCGAGCTGGGGCTGGCACGGCGACGGGTTGGGGTCGGCGTGGCGTCGAGCAGAGGCCTGGTGCACGGCGAGGAGCTGGGGCCTGGGACGCGGCGAGCTGGGGCCTGGCACGCCGGCGAGCTGGGGCCTGTCGCGCGGCGAGCTGGGGCCTGGCGCGAAGCTAGACTAGGTTAGGCGACGAGCTAGGCTAGGGGGGAAGCGTGGGTGGGTGGGACCTACATAGACAAAATAGCGAAGTAAGGTCAAGCAAGGGATACAGGTGATATATATGGTTTGGTATTGTAATCTCTAAGACCACTAACCCATCTAGCCTAGAACTGCTACATGTAACACATATGTATAAGTTGACATATAGTATATTTCAACAAAGCCCAAATACTCAATGTGCTGTTGAAAGAAATATTTATGCTTACACACATGATACACAATATTAATAGAGCCTTTAAGTATATGCAACATATCCTTGAAATTAACACCAGATTTCTATCATTATTTTTTGGTAGCTATTAGGAGACACCTAAAACAACAGTTGCATATGAGAAGATAGTTCAAATGTAATGGATTTCATGTACTCGTTTGAGGACTAACCCAGTTGCGTGTGAGATCAGGGAGCCCGTGAGTGAGGTCTGCCTCCCGCATTTCCAGTGGCCGTGACGCGAGGGAGGCAGGAACGTGGGAAGGCCACTTGCTACTCTTCGCCCAAATCAGGCTCCCAAACCAAACCAAACCAAACCAACCAAACCAAACCAGATTCACCGGACCAAACCACACTGGCCACGAGCTAGCCCACCACCCTCCAAACCAAGCCCAAACCAGAACGGTCTTGGTAATCTCTTGGGGACACCAACAAGGTAACACCAGGAAACCCTAATCGACATAGCTCAGTACAGGTAGATCGTCACTTGGCAGAACAGGTAGCTTGCACGGGGCGAAACGCCCAGACGGGACTCCTGACTAGCGAGCGATTGGTTGTCTGCGGTCTCTGTTATTCAGCGGCGCATTCTAGACTTATAGGTCGGCATGTTGGGCCGTTTTATGTCGTCAGCCCTAAGCTGCTCTTCTTCGGCACATGAGCATCGAACCGTCGTCGTCACCGCATGTCATGGACATGGCGACGATAGACGACGCCGCAGGTGACGAAGCGTACACAACCGTCGACGTCTGGAGCGATGGGTTACTCTCAGAATCCGACGGCAGGGATCAGCTGAGCCTCGGCCGCACGGCTGGCCTGCCGTCCGATGATGACGACGACGGCTGCGGCGGCGTCGACGGCGGCGGCAATTGCGACACGCGCTGCCTGCTGTTCGGCCGGAGCTGCTCGCGCTATCGGCGCCGGCTTTGGTTCTTTTCCGCGCTCTCGCCGGCTTTGTCGGGGGATGACCGCAACGCGCCTGGCGGCTCGTTCTGGCCGTCGCCACACTGCACGCCGTGGCGCCGCGGTGTCGGGCGGAGACGGCACGAGAAGCCGCCGGATGGGGTCGATAGAAAGGGGGCAGGGCGGAGGTTTGAGGAAGTAGGAGGGAAGGCGGAGGAGGAGGGGGAGAATGGCGAGGAGAGCGATGGCGGGGAGATGGAGGCTAAGCGGTGGATAAGAGGGCGTGTGGGAGTGTATCTAGGCGTAATGGTAGGTTGAGCTCGGTGTGACTAGATAGGTGTCAGTACGGTGCGAGGTGGTAGCGTAGGAAGGAAGGGCCCGAAGCCATGACAAGTAGTGGAGGTAATGTACGTAGGGTTGGTAGGGTAGGGATCAGAAAGAGCATCCGACACCACGAGTGGTGGTGGGCGGAGCGGCGCCAGTGGCCGTGCTTGTCGCTCGTCGCTCGTCGCTCGCCGCTCGTCGGTCGTCGGTCATCGGTCATCGCGATCAAACGAAACCACCCTCCACCTGCCTGACCCGCTCGGCATTTTCGTCCCTCATCCACCTGCTCTCCTTCATTCACCGCCCACCTCGCCCACCTCGCCCACCTCGCCCACCTCGCCCACCTCGCCCACTCCCACCCCGCCCACCTCGTCGCCCCACATTTGTCGCCAGGCCTTCCCCTGGTTCCATCAGCCATTGCACGCCTTCAACCACCTCCATGCAAGCCGCCTGGATGCCATGTTCCGCCACTCCTCATTCTTCTGATCCCACGACTCCCCCCCTTGCCCCATTCCCCATTCCCCCCATTCTCCTCCCCCCCCCTCCCCCCCTCCTCCCCCCTCCACCCCCAACCACCCCCCTCCCCGCCGTCCGCCCCACCATCAGGCGCTGTTATTCCTCGCTCTGCTCACCACCGCCTTCACCGCGTGCGGCCTCGTCGCCTGGTACCTCTCGCCCGCCGCCTCCTCCGCTCCCTGCTCCGCCTCCCCGCCCGCCGCCGCGCCCCCAGACGCCTCTCTGCGCGCGCACCTGCTAGTCTCCCTGCAGAACGCGACAGTGGCGGCGCTGCTGCCGCCGCTGAACGCGGTGAACGCCATGGCCGTGCTGCTCGAGCCCACTGCACGCTCTCTGGGGGCGGCGGGGGTGGCGGTGCCGGGAGGGAGAAGGGCCCGGGAACGGGCGCTAGCGCGGCTCATGCGCAAGGTGAGGGGGAGGAAGGACTGGCGGGCAGGACTGGCGGGCTGTGGGTGGCTGTTACTTTCTAACCTTGTAATCCCTACGACTCAGCGCGGCGGCTGCTGCTGCTGCTGCTGCTGCAGCTGCCACCGCTTGATGCAGATAGTATAGTGCTCGCCATAGTGTTTTCTAATAAGAGTGCCCATTCTCGGAGTGTCGCACCGCACAATAGAATGTGGCGGCACGGCTGATGGCTCATCCAATAGAGTGAATTGGTCACTCTGCTTGCTGCAAGTCACCTCCTCGCGTCACACATTTCCAACCCCTCCTCACCTCTGCTCTGGTCCCACTCCCCTCACGCCCCCTTTCCTTTCGTTTCTCTGCGAACCATGCCCCCCCCCCCCTCCCCTCCTCTCCGCCTCTCTCTCTTTCCTCTCGTGCTCTATCTCCCTCACGCTCCCTCCCCCGCTCTTCCCCCCGCTCCCTTCCTGTCAACCCATGTGTGTGCAGGTCGTCCCATACATGTATCCTGCATTTCTGGCAGCACCGTCAGTGTCGGCTGTGGTGCTACAGACATACAACCGCTCTCAACCCACCCAGTTCGTGGGTTACTACCGTAACTGGACTGCTGACTCCCTGCTAGCCCATGCCTCACACTCATCACTTTTCTCCGATAGCCCGCTCTACCCCTCACGTGCGTCTCCGTCTCTCTTCCCACCATCAAATGACGTAGCACCGCCGCCTGACAATGCACCTGTTAACGCACCTGGTAGTAGTCCACCTGACAATTCTCCTGACAATAACACGGAAACACCTGGCGCGATGCTGTCACCTGAGAATGACACCACTCACAACAACTCGTCCTCTTTGTATCTCCCTACTCTCCCCCTCCTCTTCGCCTCAACGATCTTCCTTGGAATCACCTCTTCCTCTTCCTCTTCCGCCCTGCCTTCCCCCCCATCCTCCCCCTCCACAACCACTAACACCCTGTCCTCCTACGTCGCCCATATTAACCCCTACACCGGCCTCCCCCTAAGCTCCCCCCCCCGATTCCCACCCCCCCACCCCCACTGCTGCCCCCCACCTCCCTCCTCACCTCTGCTGCGCACAAGCCCTCCCCCTTCTGGTCTCTTGCGCCCAACGCCTCCGCCTCTCTCCTTGTCGCCTCCCTTCTCCCCCTGGGGGCCTCCGCCCAGCCTATAGGGGCGTCCGCGCAGCCCTGGGCGGCGCTCTCCGCGCTGCTGCCCTTCCACCATCTCTCCCTCCTCCTCTCCTCCCTGCCCTTGCCTGCTGGCTCTGCCCTGCTGCTGCTGTCACAGGTGCGTGCGCGGGGAGTGATACAGGGGAGAGGGAGAGTCAAGGAGACGAGAGATGAGAGAGGGAGGGAAGAGTGGGCCTGGTACAATTTTTGAGGCGGCTCAAAAATCGGTACCGGGGGGGAGGAGGATGAGGCAAGAATTCTAGAGAGGAGAGAGGAGGGAGGAGGGAGGGAAGAGTGGGCCTGGAAGTGGGGGCAGGGATAAACCCGAGGAACGGGAGAAGTTGAGAGTTTCTGTTACGTTTGAGGGAATCGGTGTATCAATGTTGTGTTGACTGCTTCATTCTGCTATGCGTGGCGGGCCCTCAACCCTCTGTGTTCGTCTGCCCTGCTGCATTCCCACATTTCCTCATTCCCCCATTTTCTCCTTGCCACATTCCCCCATTCCCCGTTTCCTCATCACAGGATGGCTACCTTGTGGCGTCATCTCGCCTGCCCTCCCAGCCAGAATCCTCTGCGCCATCTGATGCAGCAGCAGCAGCAGCAGCAGCAACCGCAGTTGCAGCAGTAGCAGCAGAAAGCAGCAGCGATCCCCTGGTTCGCAGCACTGCTCTGCTGCTAGCACAGCGATGGGGATGGGGCAGCCGACAGCAGCAGCAGCAGCAACGGCAGCAGCAGGAGATAGGGGGCTACGAGCAGGCAGAAGCGCCAGTGCACGAGGCAGCAGTGGTGCTGCAGGACTGGGTCGGGGGGCAGGAAGCGCAGCAGGGTGAGGGTGCAGGGCAGGAAACAACAACAGCAGCAGGGGCAGGGGCAGTGGAGGACCGAGTCATGTCTCTAGATGCCGTCCCTTTCAACGCGTCCTCCGGCCTCACTCTTGTCGCAGTCCTGCTGCTGCCCGTAAACTCCTCCGCTCCACCCCCCACCCCCTCCCCTTCCTCCTCCTCCTCCTCCTCCTCCTCCTCCTCCTCCCCCTCCCCTGCGCTGTCCCACGCCACCTCCACCACCATCCTCTCGATCTCTCTCACTGCCCTCGCCTGTCTCCTCCTCTCATCCCTCCTCCTCTGCGCCCTCCTCCCTCTACCCATCTCCCTCGCCTCCCTCCTCCTCCACCGCTCACTCTCCGCCTCTTCCTCTTCTCCCCCCTCCGTTCCGCGCCCCTCTGCGTCCTTGGCGTCCCTGCATAGCCTGCTCTCCGTGCGCTCCTCCTCTCTCTCGCTCCTGACGGCCCGCGACATGGCTGGGCAGCAGGGGGGGGGCGAGCGGAAAGGCAAGAGGAAGGAGAGGTGTGCGTGTGGGAGGGGGGGCGCTGAGCAGAAGAGCCAGTTTATGGTGAACATGAGGTGAGTGGGGGTGGGGCAAGATGGCTTCATCAGCTTAGCGTAAGAGCCAGTTTACAGTCAATATGAGGTGAGTGCGAGGAGGGCGCGAGACTGGGGCTGGTAGGAAGGAGGGGAATGGACGATGGAGGGAGGTTGTAACCTGCAGCTTCTTTCCTTCCCTCCTCAGCATTGCCTCACCACGCCTCTGCTCTCTGACTCACCTCTGTTGCCTTTCCCTTGTCCCAACTCTTTACTATGTCTGCTGCCAGCCACAAGCTGCGCACGCCCATGGCGGGCATCATCGGGCTCATGGACATTCGTCAGTGCCCAGTAACAAACAATATCTGTATTTCCCCTGTTTTTCCCCCTCCTCCCCCCGCCCAGCCACGAGCTGCGCACGCCCATGGCGGGCATCATCGGGCTCATGGACATTCTCCAGTGCGACGACAACCTGACGCCGGACCAGCACGACATCGTGGCGCAGATCCACCGCTGCGCCATGGCCCTGCTCGGCATCCTCAACAACATCCTCGACCTCTCCAAGGTGCGTGCGTGCATGAATGCATGTGTGCAAGTGTGCATGTGTTAGTGCTGCTCCGCCTCAGCAAGGTGCGCGCGCCAGCAGCTCTTCTCCTCCTCCCTTACACCCCCTTCCTCCCTCTTGGCCGGCGCCGTTTCCTTTGATCAAGGCCGTGGGGCAGTGGCAGTGAGCAACGTGAGCTGCTATTTCCTTTGATCCTCCCTCGCTGCTGCCATGAGCAACGAGCAACGTGAGCTCCACCCACACATTTGACGCGCCTCTTCTTTCTCATTCAGCCATCTTAGTTATTTCGATCAACCATCTCACTCAAATATCGTACTCGATTATCCAATCAGCTATCATACTTGATAAAACCAATCTAATTTTCCGATCGACCATCTCAACCAACCAATGTCTCCTCCCCCTCCCCGCCTTGCCCCCTCTCCCCCCCGGGCAGGTGGAGGCGGGGAAGCTGGAGCTGGCGGAGGAGCAGTTCAACCCGGCGCGCGAGCTGGAGGGCCTCGTGGACCTCTTTGCCGTGCAGTGCGCGTCGTCGGGACTCGACATCGCGCTGGACCTCGATGGTACGACCGGGCTTGATCACCCAGACATGCATGCTCAGACATGCATGCTTAGACGTGCATGTTAGATGCTCAGGCACAAACGCGCATGCATGTGACACCCGTTTCTCTCCCCACCACCTTCTCACCTGCCACAGAATCGCATTCGCCTATCTCCAATGCTCTCCATTACCCCAACAACAACCCCCATCCCACAGACGACCTGTCTACCGACGTCGTGGGGGATGCCCCCCGGTTCCGGCAAATATTCGCGAACCTGTTGTCCAACGCCATCAAGTTCACCCCCCAGGGGTGGATCACCATCCGCGGCTACACCCAGCAGCTCGGCGCCTACCGCTCTGCTGCTGACCTCATCCCCACGCCGCGCTCACACACGCAACCAGAGGGGTTTGGGCTTGGGCTTGAGGGGGTGGGAGGAGGGGGGGAGAGCAGGGTGCCTGCATGTAAGTCGATGGGTGCTGTGAGCGAGAGGAACGGTGGGAAGGGGTGGGGTGCGGTGGAGGAGGGGGTGGAGGAGGAGGGGAGAGGGGCGGTGGGGCGGTCGGAGAAAGTGGTGCTGCATTTCGAAGTGGAAGACTCCGGCGTTGGTGCGTGTGGGGAGGAAGGGATGGTTGGTGTGTAGTCGGGGGGTTGGTTGGTGTGTGGGTGGTTAAATGGCGGATTGGTGACGATCTTAGGCTTGTATGAGAGAGGGGGGTTTTCCTTCAGCAGCTTGTGTGGGGTGGGGCACTCTGTGTGTGTTTGCTGGTTGTTGTATGTTCCTAGCATGCATGTATTCTGTCCTTTCTCACCCTCTCCCTGTCTCTGCCACTGCTGTCAACCAACTTGCAATCCCACTAGCTTCCTCTCCCACCTCTCCTCCCCCGTCTCTCCTCGGCCCGCCCAGGCATCCACCCCTCCATGTGGACACGTGTCTTTGAGTCATTCGTCCAGGAAGACGAGTCTACCACTCGCGCGTATGTTCTACTCTCTCCCTCCCTCTCTCTCGCTCTTCCTCCCCCTTCCTCGTTTTCCTCCCTAATATCACTCGTAGCAATGCAGGGTGGAAATTAGCTTCGTCTCGCCTGGTCAATGCGTTGCTGGCTGCTGTGTGTTTCCACCCATCTCTCTTGCGGCCTCTGCTACTCCCCCCTCCCATTGTCGCTGCCTTGCTCTGTCCTCCCCTTCGCCCAATCTCTCTTCCCTACCTCCATCTCTCTCTCTCTCACTCCCCCCCCCCAACCCCTTGTCTCCCCCTTTCTCTCTCTTTCTCTCTCACGTTCACTCTCCTCCGTCCCCGTCCAGCCATGGCGGGTCAGGCATAGGGCTGAGCATAGTGAAGGGCTTTGTGGAGCGCATGGGGGGCTTCATAGCCGTGGTCCCCAAGAACTCCCCCGGCACCCGCTTCGCCTTCCACCTCTCCTTCCAACGGCTCCCCCACGCCTCCCCCCCCCTCCCCTCCTCCCCCCATGGCCTCCCCTCCGCCAACCCGTTTCTCCCCAGTGACCCCACCCTCTCCTTCCCCACCTCCCCTCCGTCGCACTCCCTCCCGCCCACACCTGCGTTTGAGCCTCTCTCTGCCTCTCCACCTCACGCCCATGCATCAGCTGCACCATCTGCTACAACAGACACCACCCCTCTCCCTCCACCACCGCCACCACTACCAGCGCAACCAGCAGCAGGAGGGCCCCGTGCGTTCCTTTCTCGGGCGTCCAGGCGTGCGTGTCTCGCCCCGCCGCCAGAGCTAAGAGGCGTGCGGGTGCTCCTGTGTGTGGAAGATGCCGTGGATGTGGCGGTAGTGGAGCGCTGGCTGGCGCGCCACAGAGTGAGGGCAGGGCGAACGGAGAGCACCAAGGAGCTGCTAGTGGCAGTTAGGGACTGGGCGGCTAAGGCTAAGCTCAGACACAAGCAGCAGCGGCAGCAGCCGTGGGGGCAGGGGCAGGGTCAGCAGCGGTTGCAGTCGCAGGGGTCGAATCCGTTTCTGGATGCAAATGGCGGCTGCGACCGGACAGAGTCTGTCGCCGCCTGGAGCATTACTGCTGCTGCTGCGGTTGCTGGTGGTGGTGTTGGCTCTACTGCCAGTCCCGATGGCATGGGGCATGGCGGGGGGGAGGATGAAGCAGGGCAGCCGCAGCCGCAGCAGCAGCAGCAGCAGCAGCAGCAGCAGCAGCAGCAGCAGCAGCAGCAGCAGCAGGATGACCAGGAGTTGGGATTGGACATAGACACAGAAGAGCGCCTGCTGGTTCTACTAGAAATCGAGAAGCTACCCGGCATGGCGCAGACCCCGCCTGATCTCCCCAAAGTGCGCGCCTTCCTCTCCAAGCTGCGCTCCTTCCAGGCCAGCAGCGTCGTCTTCGCCTGGGTGCTCACCCCCGCTGCCGCCCCCTCCCTCCGCTCCAACCTGCGGGGATTTTCTGTGGTGAAACCGCTCCACCCGGGGAAGCTGCAGCGCGTGCTGGGGCTCATGGTGGGGGGGTCGGGGGACGGGGAGGATGGGGAGGCAGGGATGGGTATGGGGGAGGGCGGGGACGGGCTGGGGGGGGGGGGGATGGCGGTGGATGGGTCGGGGATCCCGGTGCTGAGACAAGAGTTGCTGGTGGCGCAGGGGACGGGGGTGCACTTGGCGGTGGAGGCGGCCCGGGCCGAGAAGCTGGAAGCGGTGTGGGAGGAGCTGCAGAGAACCCATAGCACGGCCAGTACGGCTACTAATAGCGTTGCCAACAGCGGCCCGCTTACCCAACCACCGCCTGCCGCCACCGCTGCTGCTGCTGCTCCTGCCACTGCTGCTGCTGCTACTGCTACTGCTGCTGGGATTGGCGGCGGCGGTGGTGGTGGTGGAGGTGGTGGTGGTGCTATACCTGGTGGTTCGTCGGCATTCCCTCTGTCTGGCTCCGTATCCAGCGCCCATGGTGCTGCGAGCCACAGCAGCCACGTGAGCCACGTGAGCCACGTGAGCCTCAGCAGCATGGGCAGCGGCAGCGGCACCACGCTCTCGCTCTCCCGCCGCAACAGCTCCGCATCCATCGGCTCCGGCCAGCTGGAATTTCTCCTAGCCAGCGGCATCGATCTCGGCCACGAGATCACCCACAGCAGCAGGCCCCACTGGCCCCGGGGAGGCGGGGGCCTGAGAGGCGGCGGAGGAGGGGGCGGGTTGCAGCGAGGAGCGTCGTCCGTTGCTGCTCTGATGTCTGGTGGGCTGTTGGACTCGTCCCCCCGGCGAACCAGCTCCATGTCGTCCCGCTCCCCGCCAGGGATCTCCCCTCCTCGCCCCTTGCCCATCCCCCGCCTCGCCTCCGGCCATACCCCTGGCCGCCCTCCTCCGTTCGCCCCGGTTCCAACTGTTTACCCTCCACCCCCCCGCCGCCTTATGACTGCTCTCTCCACGCCTCTTGACTTCGCTGCTCCTGGTTTACCCGTCCCTCCCTCTTCCTCTGCTAGTGCTGCTGCTGCTGGTGCAGGCATGGGTACCCCTGGTGCTTCTCCTCCCAGTGCATCCCCTGCCCCCACCTCCCGCCCCCTCTCTCTGCTCTCCCCCATTCCTCACTCCGCCACATCCACTACCCCCTTCACAACCGCTACCAGCAACAGCAGCAGCAGCATGGGCATGGGCATGGGCATGGGTATGGGTATGGGCATGGGCATGGCCCCGCGCTGCTGGTCCGAGGACACTCCGTACTCCGACGGCTCCTCTGCTCTCTCCTCCTCCCGCTGCCCGCCCTCCACTCTCGCGCGCACCATGTCCAGCGCTGCTGCTGTCAGGGCCCAGCTAGGCGCCACCCTTGCTGCTGCCACCGCCACACGCGAAGCTGCTGCTGCTGCTGCTGCTGCCGCTGTGGCCGCAGCAGCAAGCGGAGGAGGAGGAGGCGGAGGAGGCGGAGGCGGGGGAGGGGGAGGGGGAGGAGGAGGAGGGGGGTTTGGGGAGAGCAGGGCGAGGGGGGTCGGGGGGAGCTTGAGTATGAGCAGGGAGGGCAGTGGGGGGATGGCTCGCCCGGCAACTCACACAGGGTCGTCGGGGCGGCCGCCGCTTGGGAGGCTGCCAGCGCCGGGGCTGAGTCCACTGGGGCAGCGCATCAGCGCGTCGTTCAACGTGAGGATGGTGGCTGCTGGCGTCAGTGCTGCTGTGGAGGCCGTTGGGATTGGTGGTGCAGGCAGCATCGGGAACAGCGGTGGCAGCAGCGGCAGCGGTAGTGGTAGCGGTGGCGGTGGTGGCGGCGGCGGTGGCAGTGGTGGGAGTGGCTATGGTGGGGTGGGAGCAGGGGTGGTGGGTGGAGCGAAAGCAGCAGGAGAGGCAGCAGCGGGTACTGGGTTTGGTGGCGGTCGTGGTAGGGATGCTGTGGCTGCGCCTGCCACTGCGTATGCTAGTGCGACTGCTCCTGCTGCTGCTGACGATGCTGATGCTGGTAGTGGTGGTAGCGGGCGGATGGGGATGGGGATGTTGCAGCGAGCAGAGGGGTCAGCAGTGGACGCAGCAAGGGGGGTGAGTGAGGTGATGGGGGAGATAGGCCAAGAGAAGGGCAGGGTGGAAGGAAGAGCGGAGGGCAAGGAGAGGGGTGGTAGTGCCGAGGGGGAGAGAGCAGATGAGGTGATACGGCCATCAGTGAGAGACGCTGTGAGGCAGTTTGAGGAAGCAGTCAGGACCACTGTTGGCAGCGGCATCAGCAGCGGCATCAGCACCAGCATCAGCAGTGGCAGCAGTCCCCTAGGCAGTGGGCGCAGGCCCAACACGAGTGGCGGCATTGGTATTGGCAGCGGCAGAATCAGCAGCAGCAGAATCGGCAGCGGTAGGAGTGGTGCAAGTGCAGTGGGCATATCAGCAGATAGTGGAGAGATGGGAGCAAGTAGAGGGGGTGAGGATGAGTCTATTGGGATGGCAGAGGGGGGAATGAGGAGGCCGAGAACGAGTGAGGGACGGACGGAAAGAGTAGTTATAGATGGGGTAGAAAGAGAGGCATGGATGGGAGGCGGTGAGAGGGTGTTGAGACGGGGACTGAGGGGTGCAGATGGGTGGGAGGCACAGGAGGGTGGAGCTGAGAGCAGAGAGATGCAGCAGGGATACATGGGAGCTGATATTCTGGAGATGAGGCGGGCAGGTGATGGCGTGGAGGGCGGAGGAGAGGCACAGTTGGATTCGCCTCATCCGGGCTCTCGTGCACGGCGATTCGGCTCCAGCGATTCTCGTGAACAGAGATTCAATTCTCCTGAACTGAGATTTGATTCTCGAGAGGCACGGCAAAACGAATTCCGGGCGCTGAATCGGCCGCTGGGAGGCTCAAGGGAGGGGAAAGGGAGAGTGGGAGGGAGTTTCAACGAGAGGAGTGCTGGCGGAGCGAGTTTCAGGGAGTGGGGTGGCGTAGGGGGAGGGAGCTTTAGAGAAAGGGCGGGAGTAGGGGGGAGCTTTAAGGAGCGAGAAGGATTGATTGGGAGCTTCAAAAAGCGCGTAGGATTTGGAGGGAGCTTTAGGGAAAGGGCAACCAGGGGAGGAAGTTTCACAGAAAGAGAGGGAAGCTTTAGAGAAAGAGGGGGGTGTGTTAGAGAAAGAGAGGCAGGCGCTCGGGAGCGAGAGGGAGGTGACAGCAGCGGCAGGGGCAGTGCAGGGGGCGTGGGGGACAGCAGTTTCTATGAAGATAGAATGAGAAGCCCGGGCCGGTTTGCTGCAAGTGAGTCCCTACAGGGCCAATCCTGTGGACGCAGTGGTTTGGGTGGGGCATCTGGGGGAACGGGAGCAGCAGACGAGGCAGGGAGGAGTGGAGCTGTGGAAGGAGAGGTTGGGGATGAAGGGGTGAGCCTGGAGAGACTGCCAGAGGTGGCTGCTGCAGCAGCAGCACAGGCTGGCGGGAAGGGGAAAGTGCGCAAGGTGGCAAAGGGAGCAACGGCTAGTGGCAAGGGAGTGAAGGGGAAGTCGAAGGGGGAGAAGAAGGGGAAGGATGTTGCTTCGGCAGGGAAGGAAGGGGGGAAAGCCGTGGGGACGGGAGTGGGGAAGAGAGTTGGGAAGGGAGCAGGGAAGGAAGTGGGGCACGCAGCAGCTGCAGCAGACGGTGCAGAGGGGGTGGGTGCAGGGAGCGGGTGTAAGGTGAGCAAGAAGGGCGTGGGTGTCGTGAAGAGAATGGGCAGCAAGTTGGGTGGGAAGAAGAGCAAGGAGGCAGGGGGGGTTGAGACTGAGAGGGAGGGTTCGGCTAGTGAAGGTGTGAACGGGACAGTTCAGCCAGAGGGCAAGGCAGGCAAGGCGGGCAAAGTGGGAAAGGTGGGCAAGGTGGTAGTGAAGAAGAAGAAGGGCATCAAGACAGGAGATGCAGGCACTGCAGGCACAGCAGGCACAGCAGGCACAGCAGGCACAGCAGGCACAGCAGGCACAGCAGGCACAGCAGGCACAGCAGGCACAGCAGGCACAGCAGGCACAGCAGGCACAGCAGGCACAGCAGGCACAGCAGGCACAGCAGGCACAGCAGGCACAGCAGGCACAGCAGGCACAGCAGGCACAGCAGGCACAGCAGACATAGTGGAGAAGACAGGGAAGGTAGGAGCAGCAAAGAAAGTGGGGACGGCAGGGAGAGCGGCCAAGGGAGAGAAGGCGGGGAAAGTAAGAAAGGTGGTGAAGAAGAGCAAGGCTGCCAGTGCTGTGCTGGGAGGTGGGGGTGCTACGGACCATGCAGCTGCTGCTGTTGCTGCTGATGATGATGATGACGACGACGACTCTGGTGCTGGTGGTGCTGCTGGTGCTAGTGGTGCTGCTGGTGCTGGTGCTGGTGGTGCTGGTGCTGGTGCTGGTGCTGGTGGTGGTGTTGGTGCTAGTGGTGTGGGTATAGGTGATGGCAACACGTTGAAGGTTCAGGAAGCCAGAGAGCGTGGCGTGAGGGTGGTGGGCGGGCAGCATGGCACAGCAACTTTGCAGGAGCGCCAGCTGACAGCAGCAGCAGCAGCAGCAGCAGCAGCAGCAGCAGTAGGGTCGTTGCAGGATGGTACGATAGCAGCAGCGGTCGCAGCACGCACTACAGCAGCTTCAGAACCAGCAGCAGCACCAGCAGCAGCAGCGCGAGTGACAGCAGCAACAGCCCCAGCAGTCACTAAGGAAAAGTTACAAGCAGCAGCAGCAGCAGCGGCAGCAGCAGTGGGAGAGCCATTGAGTCACCGCAAGTCCCTGGACACCGCTCCCCCTCGCTTCATCAACACGTCCACGTCTCGTGCCATGAGCAAGAGCCAGTCCGCCTCCACAATCCCCATCTCCTCCCACCTCACCACCGCCGCTGCCTTCGCCTCTTCCTCCACCCTCACCCCCCCTGCCGCCACCGCAGCCGCCGCCTCCTCCTCCTCCTTCTCCTCCTCCTCCTCCAACTCCTCTGTCTCGCTCGCAATCCCCTCCCCCAAAACCCACCCTCCCACCGCCCCCTCGACTCCCCAACGCTCCCCTCCCCCCCCTCGGAGCCCCTCTGGGGGGTTCAACGGAAAGGCTCTGACCTCTCTCCGCCTGGGAGGCTACTGCGTGCTGCTGGCTGAAGACACCATGGTGATGCGGCGCCTAGCCACCATGATGCTGGAAAAGATGGGAGCGGCGGTCACCGCTGTAGAGGACGGGCAGGCCGCGACTGAGGCGGTGGTGGAGAGGGAGAAGGCAGTGGCAGCGGGGCGATCTGAGCCGTTCGATGCTGTGATCATGGACTGCCAGATGCCGCGGATGGACGGGTACGGGGCGACGAGGTGGATCAGGGCGAGGGAGAAGGAGGCAGGGGATGGGAGGCACCTGCCGGTGGTGGCGCTGACGGCTCATGCCATGGCGAGTGACCGGGAGCATTGCCTTGCTTCGGGCATGGATGCGTATTTGACTAAGCCCGCTAACGCGGCGCAGCTGGTGGCCACGCTGCATAAGCTCGTGAAGAAGGCGCCATCGTGAGGCCAGCCGGCACGACAGGAAGCGGTTGGGTACCAGCTGCTGCCCTGGTTTTTAGACGTCTCGGAGCCAGGCTGGTGACCACGCTGCACAAGCTCGTGAAGAAGGTGCCGTCGTGAGCGATGGTGTGCAGCCAGCCAGCGCGACAGCAACCCAGTTGCCAGATGTGACTAGTTTGGAGACCACTCGGAACCGAGCTGGTGAAGAAGACACCGTCGTGAGACATGGCGCGGCTGGTGAGCGGCAACCGGCGCAACAGCAACCAGTTACCAGCCACTGCCCTGCCGTAATTTGAGATGTCAAGGAACCAAGTTGGTGAAAAGGCGCCGTCGTGAGGGATGGTATGCGGCCCGCGCAACAGCAACTCCGCTACAGCAATCGGTCCACCCGCCGCAGCAAGATTCGAGACGTCTCACATGACCAAGCTGGTGAAGAAGACGCCGTCTTGAGTGATGCCTGCCTGCCTGCCTGCCGTTTGGCACGTTTTTTTATGGGTTCGAGATCTGTGGCCACTCGGCCACTCAGCCAGGCACCGGTGATTGATTTGGAGAACAAACGTACCCTGTGCAGCACGGCGAGCAGATGAGGTACATCGTGCGGTTGCTTTACGGTCATGATTCACCATGATTCAAGACTCCCTTGCACATTTATTATTCTGTAGTCTTGATGGTCAATCTGCTGTCTCTCGATCTTGTTGCTAGTATTTTCTGACCTCCCGTCTCATTTTCGTCCTCCCTTACTGTCCTCCTCGTTGCTGTGTTGTGTTCCCCCCAGGGCCTCAGATATCAGGATGTTTTATCCTGAATTCCTGATTTTCAGGATGAGTATGAGGTGCCAGTGTTAACGTAGAAACGAATGATTTACTAGAGGTGGAAACCTAGAACAAATACTAGTTGGTTGTACTCACTAGAAGCATACCTCAGTCTAGCCTATAACTTCTACATAGATAATATGTATAAGTTGACACACCCCCTAGGCTAGACAAGGGGTGAAACTAAACAAGAAGCAAACAGCTCAGGGCGGCACTACTAGTCCAACCACTGAGGCAGGGGTCTGGAGACCAGTCAGCAAGAATACAACCAAAACTGAAGCAAGCCAGGGTGGCACTACTAGTCCAGCCACTGGAGGTAAGGCCACAAGGCCAGTCTGACAAGCATATATAATAGAGAGTACACAATCAGGATCCTAACAGGGGAGCAGCTATAGGAACAAGACCAAGCTGTACACAGTGCCGCTGATGATCTTTAGGCGCAAGCGCCTTAGTAAAGATATCAGCTGTGTTGGCACCTGAGGCCAAGTGAACTACGCGGGCCTGGCGGCGCTGCTGTAGCTCGCGCAGGAGGAAGTACCGCAGCTGGATATGCTTCGCTCTGCCCTCAAGCCGAGGCTCCTGACACAGGAGTATCATGGCCCTGTTGTCAGCGTACAGGACCGGGGCAGAGCTAGGCCGCTCACCTAAGTCTGTGAGCAAGAAGGTCAGCCAGCGGAGCTCCTGTGCCGCCATGGCACCAGCGTAGATCTCAGCCTCACAGCTAGACTGAGCCACAGACGACGAGCGAGTGGATCTCCAAGAGATAGCACCCGAACCAAGGCTGAAACAGTAGCCCTGCGACGACCTGAGCGTCTCAGCGTCGTCTGCCCAAGAAGCGTCTGTGTGCCCAGTAAGGACCACTGGCCTGCGTCCTCCTAGCACTAACCCCATGCCTGATGTACTAGCAAGATAACGCAAAACCCTCTTAGCGGCAGACCAGTGCTGAGGTCGGTGTCTGCCTGTAGCCACAAAGCGAGCCAGGATGCTGAGAGGGTATGCGAGATCTGGGCGAGTGCAAGTCATCAGGTACATGAGGCAACCCACCAGCTCTGCGTAGGGGCCACTGGGCTCTACTGGCTCCTCAGGAACGGGAGCAGAGAGCCCATGGTCTACGGGTAGAGGTGTGGGCTGTGCGGAGGAGAACTGAAGACCGAACCTCTGAAGGACCTGACGCACCAAGTGTGACTGGGTCAGAGTGATGGTGCGTGCTGCTCTGTCCCTAGAGATCTGCAGGCCAAGATAGCGACGCAGCTCTCCAAGGTCAGTGTAGGTGTGTCTCTTCAGCAGCTCAGCCTTCACAGAGGCCAGTGCGTCCCTGTCAGGAGTAGCGAAGACCAGGTCGTCTACGTAGACAAGGATGTAGAACGGAGTCTGGCCGGAACGCACAAACAGTGAAGGGTCAGCAGAGGACGGAAAGAACTGCAGGTCTGCTAACGTGGCACGTAGCGTGTCGTGCCACTCGCGGGGAGCCTGACGCAGGCCGTAGACCGGGCGCCTGAGAAGCCACTGGGTCCCAGGAGGGAAGGTACCAGTGAAGCCCTGTGGTCGGCGCAGGTAGACCTGCTCGTGTAGGCTGCCCTGAAGAAAGGCAGTAGAGAAGTCGAGAGAGTGAAGCTCGTAGTCACGCTGTGCTGCTACGTGTAGCAGCGCCCGAAGAGTGGTCATCTTCGGGGTCGGGGCGAAGGTCTGGAAGAAGTCAACCCCCTCGCGCTGACTGAAACCTCTGGCCACGTAGCGCGCCTTGAAGACAGGCGGCTCTCCAGGGGGGCGCTTCACCTTGAAGAGCCACCGACCATCGACTACGTTCACCCCAGGCGGGGGAACTGCGTCGACGTAAGTGCCGGTGGATCTCCAAGATGCCATCTCCTGCTCCATGGCAGCTATCCACTGAGAGGCCCAAGGTCCCGAGGTGGCCTCAGCGTAGGTGCGAGGGGTCGGGATGTCGAAGGCGTCTGGGTCACCCTCAGGGACTAACAGCATGGAGCAGAGATGGGGAGCAGCCTCGGAAAGGAAAGCCAGCTCGTACTGCCTGTCCTCTAGGACGTCACTGCCAAGGGCAGGAGCACCCCCGACGGACAGAGGACGGGCAGGGTCAGAGACCAGAGCGGTAGCGTAGTCAAGGCGGCGGGTAGAAGCGAAGTCAGCGACAGCAGCGACAAGCGCGTCAAGGCGCGAGACAGGAACAGCAGGGTCGGTAACAAGAGAGGCAAGGACCCGAGGGACAAGGGGACGAGCAGCACGGAGGTAGTCAGAGAACGGAGGAGGTGCAACAGCAAGGGACGAGGGAGGAGGGGACGGGAGGAGGGGAGGACGAGACGAGTGGGAACGGAGCAACATAGGTTGGGTGGGCAGGACAGGAGAGACGGGACGAGCATGGGAGGGACGGCGAGCCCAAACGTGAGACGGAGGGGTAGGGTCAGGGGACAGCGGAGGAGACACAGGAGGGGAACGAGGAGGAAGACGGGCCGGAGACGAGTCTGGCGGCGGGAACACAGGACCGTAGACAGGGAGGTCAGGAGGCGGTGGGGGAGACACCGGCGCGCGGTCCGGGGAGGGAAGGCCGAGCAGGCGGAGAGCGGAAACCGGCGGCGACGGCTGCTGTGGCGGCGACGACGGCTGGGCCGGAACTCTCGGACCAGCAGAGGCAGAACGACCGTCGGCAGAACACTCAACAGCAGCACCCCCAGAACCAACACCCCAAGAGCGAGAACCCCCTCCAACACCAGCGGCACCCCCAGAAGCCGCAGGACGAACACCCTCCTCCACACCAGCACCCCCAGGGGCCGAGAGCAGCGGCGGCAGTGGCGGCGACAGCGGCGACGGCTGCGGCGGCGACGGCGACGGCGGCGGCAGCGGGGTCGGCGACTGCGACAGTGGGGGCGGAGGCACTGGGGAAGGGGACGCGGCAAGGACGGACCGGGGGTACCACCAGAGTCAGCAGACTCCTCAACGGGGACAACCGACGGGAGGGGAGTGACGTGGGAGACACCAGACGGGGCAGGACGAGGCGGGAGAGGGGCAGGGGCTACCGGGGGAGAGGGAGCAAGGAAAAGGGGGGGGGCAACTGGGAGACCTCGGTGAGGGAAGCGGCGGTAGAAGGAGACGGACTCGTCAAAGGTGACGTCACGAGAGTGGAGGAAGCGGTGAGACGGCGGGTGGTAGAAAAGCCAGTCAGACGAGTCCAGGGGGAAACCGAGGAAGACACAGGGGACAGTGCGGGCAGTGAGCTTGTCCGTGCCAGAGGCACGAACGTGAGCAAGGCAGCCCCAGACGTGGAACGCAGACGCGTCACCGGGGGACCCGGTCCAAAGGAGGGTCGGCGAAACCTGCGGCCGCTGAGAGCGTGGCCACAGGTTAAGCTGGTGAGCCGCGTAGCGAACAGCGAACGGCCACAGAAAATGGGGGGCATCGGCATGGATCATGGAGGTACGGGCGACCTCCATGACCAAGCCGATGCGGCGCTCAGCAACCCCATTCTGCTGTGGCGAGTCCGGCAACGTGTACGACTGGGTGATGCCCTCCGCACGACAGAACTGTCCAAGCCGACCAGAGGCGAACTCGCCGCCACGGTCGGAGTGGAGACACAACACGGGGAGACCGCGGTGGAGACGCGCAGCTACAACCCACGGGAGAAGAACGTCGGGCACGTCGGCCTTCCGCTCCAGGGGAAACACCGTGGTGTAGCGCGTGTAGTCGTCAACGAGCACAAGGAAGTAGCGCTCACCGCGCGGTCCGGGGACGGGGGCAGGGCCCCAAACGTCCAAGTGCAGGGTCTGAAGGGGGGCAGTAGCAGGACGCAGCGAGGAGGAGTGAGGAGCACGGCGGAGCCGACCCTCGACGCAAGGCGTGCACGGTGGCGCAGTCGAGGGAGGAAGGGCAGGGAGCGACGCGGGGAGACCTAAGACAAGACCGTGCTGGGACATGTGACGCAGACGCGGGAGAGCAGGGTGACCTAAGCGGTGGTGCCAGAGAAGGGAGGGGTGAGTGAGGGACCGACACGAGCAAGCTGCAGCGACCTGGGAGGACGCACCAACCGGGGGGGAAGCGGTGTGTAGGGTAAACAGACCGGACACCGGGTCCCGGGGGAACGTCGCAAGGGGGGAACCGGAGACAGCCTCAGAACAGACAGCGAACCGCTCGTGCCCGGGGAACGTGGTGGTGACGCCGAGGTCCTGGAGACAGCCGACACCAACCAGGTTCCTGGAGAACGAGGGAACGTGGAGGCCAGTAAGGGAGCCCGAGGGAACTGCCGGACAGGGAAGGGACGTAGAACTGCGCGCGACGACCGGACCCGCAGAGGGGTCAGCGAGAGAGACAACAGCAGGTGCAGCAAGCGGCGTGAGCGTGGAACGGTCGCGGAAGAAGCAGGCAGAAGCACCAGAGTCAAGAGTGAAGGACAGCGACGCAGTGGCGGAGGCCGCGGACGGAGCCGGTGCAGCGACTAGACTAGGCAACCTAGGCAGTCCTACGCCTGTCGCAGCAGGGGAAGCTAAGCTACACAAGGGTGAAACACCTAAACTAGAGTACACATGGTAGTAAGATCCATCAACACTAGAAGCGTCAGCATACAAAGCATGCAAAGCAGCACCTATCTGATCCATGTCTAACTCAAAGATCGGCACGGCCTGGCGGAGCAGGCTGTGCCAGTCAGGGAGGTCCGGGGCCGGGCCAAAGCGACGACGAAAAAGATCGTCGAGGCGGCGGAAACAGTGGGCGGTCGGGTGCGGGCGGCGGCACAGAGTGCCGCGGAGAGGCCCGGTCTGAAGCTGGTACTGGCAGGTCACAGCACTGGAGCCGCTGGTAGACGCCAAGCTGCGCGGGCCGCCACCACGGCCACCGCCTCCGGAGGTGCCGGGCCAACCAGGCGGGAGACGAGCCCACGGCTGCGGCGGGTGCTGCTGGGACGGCGGCTGCGGCTGGGGCTGGTCCTGCTGCTGCTGGGACTGCTGCTCCTGCCCACCGGTGGTAGTCCCCTCAGGCGGACTACCGTCACCACCACCACGACCACTACCACCTGCGTCACCACCCCTACCTCCCTGGCGGCCACGGCCACCGCGACGCGAGCGCTGCTGCGGGTGGACAGCAGCAGCCGTCTCGGTAAGAGGGGTCGCCGTGGCGACCGCAGCCGAAACGTCAGTGAACGTGCACGGGGACGGGGCACAACCGTGAAAGATAGAGACTGCGGGCGCACCGCTCGACCGAGCGATAGTGCGCTGGCGACTCTCGATCTCAGTGAGGGTGTCGACAAAGGCGGTCAGGGTGAGGTCACCCGGGTGCTGGCTAAGAAAGTGGTCGCGAGCACTAGCGAGGCGGTCTGGCAGGCGCATAGCGATAAAATAGAGCGTCATGCAGAAAGGAGGGGGGAGCGCAGTGAGCTGGGCAGCAGTGCTGGCAGTGCGATAGCGAGTCTCTAGGGCACGCAAATGAGTGGCAAAATCTGCGACAGTAGGGAAGGCAGCCAGGTCTGGGAACAGCATCGGAAAGAGCAAGCGGCCAGCAGAAGCGGAGGCAGGGGTGGAATAGCGAGCAATAACGGCGTCTAAATAAGCTTTGGCCGTTTCAACAGTAGCAAAACGCGAGCGCTCAGACACAGGGAGGGCGTGACTAATAGCAACCTGAGCTACTGCATCGCGTGAGTCCCAGACCGCACAGGCTAGCGCAGCAGTAGAGAAAGCCTCACGGTCATCAGAGGAGGGGTCAGCAGGGAGGGGAGTAGGTGCAGGGGGACGGGGGAGCAAGCCATCAGCATGGACAACCAGAGAGTGGCCATCCTGGCGCTGACCTGTAAGCTGGCGGCGAAGATCGGAGAGCCAGGCGGCGAAGTCAACCGCGTGGCCCTCAGCGTCCAGGCGGAGCACAAAGTCAGCCATCGTGCAGGGTCAGCGGCACAGCTCCTCAGCGACACAGCGGCACAGCAGCACAGCTCCTCAGCGGCACAGGAGCACAGCGGCGCGGGGACACGGCGGCAGCACTCTCCAGTAGGGCAGCAGCTAGGCGTCCCAGCGCAGGCAAGCAGAAGACACAGGGCCCGAGAGGACACGGCAGGCCGAGCAGGGGAGGCGGGCAGGTGCTCTAGGGCCGGGCTGGTGCTGGGAGGGGCCAGGCTGGTGCTGCTGGGGCCGGTCGGGCACGAGGAGGGGCCGGGCAGCGCTGAGGAGAGGCCGGGCGGCGCTAGGAAGGGGCCGGGCGGCACTAGGAGGAGGCCGGGCGGCACTAGGAGGAGGCCGGGCGGCACTAGGAGGAGGCCGAGCGGCACTAGGAGGAGGCCAGGCGGGCGAGCGCTAACAGCAGGCGCGACAGGGGCCAGCGGGCGCGACGGGGCCTAAGGGGCGCGACGGGGCCGAGGAGGCGCGACGGGGACCAGCGGGCACGACGGGGCCCAGGGGGGCCGCGACGGGGCCTAACGGGCGCGACGGGGCCCAGGGGGGGCGCGACGGGGCCTAGCAGGCGCGACGGGGCCTAGGAAGCGCGAAGGGGCCCAGCGGGCGCGACGGGGCCTAGGAGGGGCGCGACGGGGCCGAACGGGCGCGACGGGGCCCAGAGGGGGGGGACGCGACGGGGCTTAGGAGGCGCGACGATGCCTAGGAGGCACGACGGGGCTCAGCGGGCTCGACGGGGCCCATGGGGGGCGCAACGGGGCCTAGGAGGCGCAACGGGGCCCAGCGGGGGCGAGTTAGGGCCTAGGGGTCGCGACGGGACCCAGTGGGCGCGACGGGGCCCAGGGGGAGCGCGACGGGGCCTAGGAGGCGCGACGGGGCCCAGCGGGCACGACGGGGCCCAGGGGGGGCGCGACGGGGCCTAACGAGCGCGACGGGGCCCAGGGGGGGGCGCGACGGGGCCTAGGGGGCGCGACGGGGCCTAGGAGGCGCGACGGGCGGAAGCGGTAGGCGGGGGGATCCTAACCTAAGCGTGATACCATGTTAACGTAGAAACGAATGATTTACTAGAGGTGGAAACCTAGAACAAATACTAGTTGGTTGTACTCACTAGAAGCATACCTCAGTCTAGCCTATAACTTCTACATAGATAATATGTATAAGTTGACAGCCAGACCTGAAAAATCCGATTAAATGAATTTCTGACCCTGTAAATTCAGTATGGTTATCATATGACAACCCTGAGAACTCAGTATAGTGTTCGTGTACCAGCCCTGACTGCTCAGTATGAATTCGAGGATAACCCTGATACCTCGAATCTGGCTTCAGGGGGGGCGCTACGGGTGTACCCCCTGTTTTCTGCCCATAGTTCCATAATTTTCGTGCCAGCGCACATTTTGCCTGTAGATTGTTGCCGCGAAATGACCAGTTTGCCGCGTGCACTGCAAATCCTGTAATTCTGGCCAATAGCGGCTAAGTATACAGCCAGCGCAGCGCACCACAGCCAGGCCTCAGAAGGTGTTGGGGTGCTGCGGTCCACTCGCTGACGCAGCATTGCATGCATGGATGGTTGGACGGCCAACCACTCCATGTGGGGAGGACCAAACTCCCGCGCAGCCATCGCTCATGGTCCTTCCTCCCCACAGCTCCCTTTCATGCCTTGAATCATCCAACCATTCTAGACGATAGAGCTTGTGCTCGCTGGTCTGTTTCTCTGCTGTGAACCGCCCCCTCGTTAGGGGGCACTATGCTTGCGCCAGGATCTGACGACGAGGAGGAGGCTCCCGACGATCCTTCTACAGCGTCCCACCCGGGTGCCGTGACAGGATTAGACTTACTGCGAAGAAATCCTCCCGCATCGGCACCTCCCCCTCGAACGCACACCGCTGAAGTAGTAGAGGAGGCATCTCGCCATGTTGTAGCAACACCACCTCAGCGAAGCACTACGCCCCGCACTTCTTTTAATCAAGGGTCGACCCGTATTGGACCGCCGTCGAAGAAGCTCGAGCCCTCACGCTATCGGCAGGCAACCCTGAGTTTCGGGCGGTCGCAAAACACTCCCGCTCCGACTCTGCACGTCGTCCCTCCTGTTGTTTCAGGACCATCTACAGCTCCGACTTCGTCATCGGACACCGAACTTGAAGACGTGGCCGAACGAAAGTACCAGGAGGCTCTCTGGCAATTTAAAAAGCGGTGGAGTACTGACTTTCCTTGGCTTGTGCTTAATCAGACCCGTGCAGGATTCCCGGCTTTGAAGTGTAAGACTTGCATGGAACATGGCGGGCACGGAACGAACTACGGCAAGGGCGGAGAAGGTGCGACCGACGTCCAGACGCAGGCGATGCAAAACCACCAGCGCACGCGGAAGCACAAGAGAGCGATGCGGAGACAAGCCACCGCCACTGCGATCGCTGAGGGGCAGCTGCGCATGGAGGACTTGGCGAAAACACATACCGTCCAGAGCGAGCGTGTTACTGCACTGCTGGAGACTCTGCTTTTCATCTGTCAGTCCGACGCGCCCATCGAGATGTGGGTGCAACTTGTGCGGCACCTCTCAAAGCGACGTACTCCTGGTTTTCCCAAACGAGGCTACGGGTCTTACTTCACAACGTAAGTCCTTGGGTGTTTTATTCGTTTACTATTTAACATGTGTTGATCTCTCGCATGTACTAATCTCCCTGCATGGTTTGCGCAGGTATGGCTTTCAGGAGTTAACCAAGTCGACAGCCATGTACCTTCGAGCTCGTCAACGGGAGCACTTGGAGTCAAGCCCGTTCATTGGCTTGAGCTGTGACGAGAGTACCGACAGAGTTCGTGGCAAGCACATGATTGTGTTTGCTACTTTCCTTCGCGAGCGCATTGTTGTCACAGAGTTTCTAACGCTTCTTCCTGTCGACAAATGTGATGCAGCTTCTCTGGAAGGCTCTCTTGTTGCTTACCTCGATAGCATCGGCATCAGTCTCTCAAAGGTGTCGGGCATCAGCACCGACGGTGCCGCAGTGATGGTTGGAGCCACGAACGGGGTCGTTGGGCGCCTTCGACAGCGGATCCCGCATGTGGTTTCTGTCCACTGCATAGCGCATCGGTTCGTTCATGCATAGACTTCATATCCCGTTGAGAAAACCGTGCACTAACCACTGTTTCGTCGTGTTTCTACTCCCGTCCATCCAGGGAAGCCCTCGCGGCCAGAGATGCTGCCAACGCGCTGCCTGAGCTGGGAATTGTGGATGCCATCATCCGCGCGGTTGCTGAGCTGCTGGGGCGTTCACACAACTGGCACAAGATGTTCAAGGACCTCCAAAAGATCTTCACGGCGACAAATCTGGAGATGCAAGGGATTCACCTTGTTCGGTGGCTCAGTCGTGGCGGCGCCATTCTGAGGCTGGTGGCGGTGCTTCCTGCCGTCATCGTTCTGCTGCACCTCTACGACAAACCCATGTACCACATCGTCACATCGTACAAGTTTCACTTTTTCCTGTACTTCCTCGCCGACGTGCACGAGGAGCTCAACAGCCTCAATCTGCTGTTCCAGAAGCGCGAGGTGAGCCATTCCGGTTGCAATGGTTTCCAACCAATTCAAACAAAAAACATACTGCCGTCAATAAAAAAATTACTTACTTCCTCGTGTTCTTATTTCATCCCATGACACCCTCCTACAGATCGACCTGACGGGCGTGCAGTCGCAGGTACGGCGAACGATCGTCTTCATTCGTTCGCGCTACGTCAACTGCGGGCCTAACTTCGGCACGAACAGCGATCGCCTGTCCAAGTTTCTGGAGCGCCACGCCAGCAACCGAGATGTGATCGTGCAGGGCGTCGATGCAGACGGAATGGAGCGAGTGCATCAATTCGAGCTTCACGAGGAGCCGCTGCCAAACTACACCACTGCCCGCGGCGACAAAGCTTCCTGCACGCTCACCTGTCGCTCCTACGCGACCGAGCTCATCTACAACGTGCAGCTGCGGCTCGGCGACCTTGAGCGGCTCAACGGGTCAAAGCTGTGGATGCCCCGAACATGGCCGCGGAACACGGAGGCGAGGGACGAGGAGTGCGCCGAGCACTTTGACAGCGTGGTCGAACTCTTCCACGCCAGCGACCGCGTTGAAATTCTGCCAGGTAAGGTTATCCATGCCAATGTATATTATATGCCCAACTTGCTAAAATATTGCAGTTCCTGTATGAGTGTTGCTGATTTACGAGTGTTGCTGTTCCTGTATGTGTCTGGCAGGAGTCGACAAGCGGCTGGCACGCAAGGAACTCAGCACCCTCGTGCCAGTGCTTGCTGGTGTGCCAAAAGAGGAGCAGCCATTCCATGCCGGACTTGCAGCCATCCTGGAGACCAGCGACTGGCCGCGCAGCTACCCGAATCTCGTGCGCCTGTGGGTGGCTGTGGCAGTGCTTCCTCTCAGCACTGTTGAGTGCGAGAGGGGATTCTCGCGACAAAATGTGATTAAGAGCTGGAACCGGACGAGTCTGTGCAACGGGAAGCTGGAGGATCTGATGTGCATGAGTTTGCTAGAGTATGACATGAACTGGGATAGGGTCATTGAGGTGTGGCGCGGCATGAAGAAGAGACGGCCAAGGAGGGCCCACCAGAGCGAAGTGCGTGCGAGGAAGTCTGCCAAGGGCAAAGAGAAAGTGGTGGTGTTGTCCGAAGAGGAGCATGATGATGAGGCACGAGCGGACGATGAGAACAGCTGCTCCAGCAGCGGGTTTAGTTCTAGTGATGATGAGGAGGATGGTGGAAACTTCTGAGTCGAGCCACATGTATGCTGCAGTACTGTGAATATTGATTATCTCTGGTGTTATGCTGCTGCTATTATTATACTTAAAGCAACATTTTGGGCTGTTTTGAAGATTACCCTGAGGCTGCAGTTAAGTGCTGGATGCCAACCCTGACAAAACAGCATGAACATTGACGTCCAACCCTGACCAGTACACGTGTTTTTAAGGCCTAGCCCTGACTAGACAGGATGCCCAAAATCCTAGCTGAGGCCCTGGTTCCCCCCCCTTTCAGCTAAGTAAAGCAACGAAAATCTAGCATCAGCCGGCAACGTTGTTCTTTTACGTTATTACCACCTCATTGCCGAGAGCGGGGACACTGTACGCACTTTGTGTACCCCGTGAATGAAAGTGAACAGATACGTGTAATTACAGGCGGACAACACGCACTATGAGACAACTCCCTGCAACATGCTTACATCCCTAAGCCAGGAATGTAACATAAAGCCCTTCCCACATACTAAACGGCTCAACCAAGCACCAAGAACATGCAAGAAGCAAGCCATGCTGCCGCAATGGCTCCTGCCCTGCCGTGGCCAGCAGCACCTCCTCTACTGGGCAATGGAGAGGCTAAAACCAAACCTGGTTGCGCCAATGCCCTTGTCCCCCCCCCTCTGCTCCCCTCCCTCCTGCCCCCCCCCTCGGCCGCCGTTCTTGAAGGCCTTGCTGGTGTCCACCTCTGCGGTCACGTTGAGTGTCGCCCCACCTCCTAGCGAGTGCTGCAGCAGGCAAGGCAGTTGCAGGGGCAGTGAAGAGAACACTTTGTGCTTGTGATGATGCTGATGCTGGTTATCACCCATGCATCACCCACCCGCCATTAGCAAGAGGCATCCATCAGCAGAGCAACAGCGATCATCCACCCCACCCACCCCACCCTCATCCAAAAACCACCCCCATCCCCACTCCAACCCCAACCCACCCCCTCCATCACAAGCCCTCCCCCACTTATCCCCCCACACACCTCATCAGACAGCCCTCTGGTCTCACCTGCAGCCAGCCGTGGAAGAGCCCATTGCTGTTGAACTTGCCCTTGAGCTGTGTCTTGTCATCCACCTGGTACTTGAGCGCGTACGCCACGTTGTCAGCGCTCGAGTCCTTGAGTGCGCGCTGCAGGTACAGCCCCACGGCCAGCCGCTCGTCCACGTCCTGCGCATACTGCAGGTGCACCATGTCCCGTGCCTGCATGTCCAAGTATGCAGCTGCTGACATGCGCCCATGGGCCATGCCTATGCCTGCAAGATGGGAGAGGGGAGACGGGTGTGGTGGAGTGGAATAGAACCAGTGTCACAAAGCCTTGGTGTTGGTGAAAGACAGGGTGGCTGGCAAGATGGTCTGAGAGAAGAACCTCTTTTTTTTGTATAAAACCCACAAGAGCATTCGAGACTCACCAGCATTATACTTGATCACGTTCTGCGAAGCCGTGTCGTAAGCCACCTCCCCTCCAACGCACACGCCACCCCCCACGCCCCCCAGCGCCAGGCTGCTGGTCAGCACGGGCTGCGTGCTGAACGTGGTCCCCGCCGACACAGCCGTGAACTGTGACCGGTGCGTGAGCGTCACGCCGTGCGGCAGGCTGGGCGCTGCACTGGTGGCGACGGGAGGGCCCAGGGAGATAGTGGAGGCGGCTGCGCGCGGAGGGAACTCTGCTGCTACTGTTGCTGCCAGCCCACGCGCCACCTCAGGCACCTTGAAGCTCGTCTGTGCGCGGGTAGTAGCCATGGGGGCGAGTGGGGAGAACAGTGTGGGATCAGATCAGAGCGAAACACACTAGGGATAGGAAAAAAAAAATGCACGGTATATAAGGAGCCCGACCTTCTGAAAACCCACCACCAAAAAGGGGGGGAAATAAAAGAGAGGGTCGCACAAACAGTTTTGACGGGAATTTTTGGATGATGCTTCGGATTTGAACGCCCCTACTGCCGCAGCAGCTCATCCAGCAGAATTTCAAATTCGAAATTCAGAGTCCAATGATACAAACAGAGCGCGGCCCCTCACCTGGATCTGGCCCAGCGAGCTGGCGGACACCTGGCAGACGGTATCCCCGGGCAGGGGCACCGTAGCCGTGACGAGCCCGACGACGAGCTGCTGCACCTTGGTCACCATGGTCGTCAGTGCCACGCTGCCGGGCGCCACGGCGGACAGCGCCACCACCTGCGCGGTGGAGAAGCCCTTGCTGAACAGGTCCTTGGACGCCTGCCCCATCTCGCTGAACATCACCGCCGCCGGTGCCGATGCTGACGCCGCAGCGCCGCCTGTCGCACTCGTCTTCGCCTTGCCGGCGCTGGCGCCGTGACTGCTGCTGCTGGTCTTGCTCTTGGTGGTGGCATGCGTCGAGTCGCCGCCGCCGCCACCTTCTCCTCTGCCCCACCATTTGGTCGTGCCGGATGATGACGAACCGTTCGGCCCTCCTCCTACTCCTCCTCCTGTTGTGTACGTGGTCGACGGTTGCGTCGTCACCGCAGCTGCGGACCTCCGGTTTGTTTCAGACTCCATTGCTCGTGGTGAGATGAGGGATTGTCACGGCAAGAGGAAAACTCTAGCTCTGACGGCCGTATGCGGAGGGGAAACCGGAGGGCGCTGAGATCTCAAGGTGCTGAGTGTGAAGGGAGCTTGCGCTTTTGTTCCTGCGCTGAACGCCAGCCTGCTGGAAACGAGGAGAGGACAGACGGACTGGAGAGGTGACCACAATAGAAGAGCGGGTGGCAAGGAGCGGGGGGGAGTGTGCCCGTGCCAGAATTCCAATTGGGAATGCATGAGGGAATTTGGGGGCGACACGAGGCAGATGCGAAAGGGAAGGAAGGCGAAAAGCAGTCGTGATGGCTTTCGCCAGGTAGACGAAGTGACATGCACCTGTGTCGCACGGACACGTGTTGACACCTTCGCTGCCACTGAGCATTACCCCTCTATACCCACCCCTGCGACAAGCACATCGCGATTCAGCGGCTTTTCTTAGTACTAGGTTTTAACAAATTTATCTACAATCATATTCATTTTTCCTCATTGTCATAATCATGGTGTGTATTTAGATCCTGCGTCTGAATCACTGTGTAAATCTATATATATATATTCGCAAAGTAAGAACGAAAGATATAGGATGAAATAGGAACTAATTTGCATGATAAGGACATTGAATGTGAAGGAACTCTGTACAGTATCAGCTCGTTATGAACCGTTTGAAGTTACACCTAGCGCGAGGTATTTTTACACCCAGTATTTTCACAAGAGGTACCGCCGAGAGGGGATTCACCCCCCGAAAGCAGCTCCTGAAGACCAGATCTGGATACATGTACCCTTGAAAAACCGTTTGAACTTGGGTTTCTAAACGAAACGTTTACTGCTCGAATTAGTGCTTCTCGAGTCAGGAAACACGACGTCAGCTTGGGCAGTACTCAAAGTTTTTTCCCGCGTGGAGTCTGCCGAGCTTAGGCCGTAGGGACAAGGGGGTACTGACTACGCACTCAGAAATGGTCAGGGTGGAAACACCAATAATTCTTCCGCTCAGTTTCAGGGTGTGAAATTACCGCGGGACAGGTGTATTATCCAGTCCTTCTGAGGCACCTCACCTCACCCAACCGTAATCAGATGCACCACTTGGGACACGCCCTGAATGTTGTTCTTCTGCTTCATCAGCTGCGTGGTTCGCTGCCAGCCTTCTTGAGCTCTGCATTCAAGGCAATCATCAAAGCGGACAAACAAAAGCAGGCTGTCCAGGTGACTTCTCATGGCTGTTTCTGGCGAGGCGAGCACCTAAACTTTTATGTAGGCCCTCATTGATTCTTCCGAGGCGATCATAAACTATCTCTACACAGCCGAGAACACAGCCGAATTGCAGCTTGTTGAATGTATTTCTCCTTGTACTATGATTGTTGTCCCCTGACCGTTCAACCCACACTCCCTGGCCCCAAAACGTAACACTCAAGACGGTTGTTGTCGTCCAACCTTGATGGGGGGGACTTCGTGGGGCCAGTGGATGATCAATGAGTGGTTGAAAACGACATTGGCAACACCCGGTTGACTAAAACGAGGGCCTAGCCCTGGGATTGGACCAGACCACAGTGGTCTGACGATGCCCCCCCCCCCCCAACCCAACCCAAGTGGCACACATCACCATCGGCGTGACCGCGCCATTGAAATTCGGCATGGCCTGCTTGTTCCCCTTCTCACCTTCCATCCATTCCCTCTCTCGACTGTCGAGTGACAATACCAATGGACCATTTGTCGTCAAAACGAACAACTTGTGCGTCATTCCCGTGGCTGGGCCCAACAGAAACCTCCCCTTGACAGACACAGCACCACCACCACACCAGCCGATCTCTCCAAACCCATTTCGGCCAAACAAGACCAACTTCGGTAGCATTGTGTCTCCATTCGCAGTACAGTCAACGGAGGTTAGGGCGTGTCTAGCGCGTACGTTTGATTGCGGTTGGGTGAGGTGCCTCACGGATCAGAAGGATTGATAACAAATCTAAAACGGTTGGGTAGTGTGCAGCCGCCATGGCAGTACGTTATGTTCTATTCTGTAGGTCAACTCCCTCATCATCAGCTCGCCATCATCCTAGGTAGAGGATTCTGCAGCAATGCATCGTACCACCATCCTACCCAATCAGTCATCTTGTACTCGCATCGCAACCACAATTGCCATTGCGTTAGGGGAATCCTGGCGGGGGAGACTATCCATGAAAGCACTTCTCTTAGAGCAATAATCTTTTTTCGGATTTTGAAAATCTGGCCATGGAGCCAGCTCAGATTCCCCTATCTCCGTCCCACTATCTCTCCCCGCCCCCACCGGCATACCTCTGGCCTGTAAGCCCCCCCGCGTTGGTGTTCGCTACTAGCTCACCCCAGCTGGGACTTACAGCGAGTCATCAGCACCCAACGCAGTCCCGGCAGCAGCGCAGCGAGCAACGGCAAAGGCCGAGGGAAGCGAGGCAAGGGAACAAGCCGGAGAAGCAGGCCCCCGGGAAAGGCGCAGAACGCTCTGATTCAGCAGTGCCGATGTGTGAGATGGAGGATCCTTCCAGACGCACTACGGGAAATGCGACCGTTAACGCCGCGTCGGTTTGCGCGGAGCCCAGCGGATTGGCGGCGGAGCCAAGCAGCAGATTCCGGAGCCTCTCCACTGACCGCCAGCGCGGGCGGAGGGTGCGCGCAGGCGGAAAGGCGGACGGGGATAGGACTAAGGCGGGGACAGGCGCAAGGGCGTTAGCTGAATCCTCTGCAGGCGTGACTCGATGCGCGGAGGAGTACGTGAAAGCCGTACACCGCACCACCACATGGTCCCCGTCAAGTACCGACAAAACTCCTGTCAGCAACTCGAGAACGCGAGCGCAAGGCGCGTCGCGGCATGCTCGCGGGGCTGCTGCGGCTCCAGGCCCAGGGGGGGTTGCGGATCGTGTACTAGGGACAAGCGCAGACGGGTGCGCAGAAGGGGATGCGGGGGAAAGAGACGGGCCGGGAACTCTCGGGATGGGTATGCGCTATGTGCAGAGACTAAAATTCGGAGACGATAGCGAGACGAATCCTGGGACTGTACCCGCTAGTAGCATATCTCCCGCAATCGGCTCCATCCCCGCTACTAGCAGCTCCGTCTCTCGTCGCAAGGAGAGGCGAGGAGACGGCTCCCGGCGGCGATCGTTCGGGTCTGGGGATTCGAACTCCGGGGGATTTATGGCTGCTGCCGCTGCTGCAGCGATCACCGCAGTAGACGACGCGAGACTAGGGTTTCGTGATTCGTCCTTGGCCGGGGAGTTCTTGACCAGAAGTCTAGGCAGCCGGCCGCGCAGAAGGTTTAGTGGGATTAGAGAGGACCTGGTGGCAGGTGAGGACGGCACTAGCGCAGGTGCAGGCGCCGCCCGGCCGCAGGGCTGGTCCAACCAACGGGACGGACGGGTGCTGCGGAAGGACGTCTCGGCGCAGGCGCAAGCGCAAGCTCAAGCGCAGGCGCAGGCGCAGCAGGGTAACACAGGGAGCAGCTTCAGCAGAAGCAGCTTCGGCAGCATGAGCTTCGGAAGCAGCTACGGCGGCGGCAGCTTCGGCAGCAGCAGCAACTGCAGCACCAACACGAGCGTGAGCTGCAACAGCGGCAGCAGCAGCACCAGCACCGCGTATCATGTGGCCCGTGGACCGAATTTTAACACCTCGTGTGGCGGCGGCGGTGGGGGTGGCGGGGGCGGGGGCGGGGGCGGGGGCGGGGTCTGCAGCCCCGGTAACTCCAGTCCCGTACAGATGTCCCCGCAACCCTCCCCGTCTAGGCTGGGCCTGCATGTCACAGGTCCGGGTTTCCGCCCCATGTCTCCCCTTCTCAGCGCGACGATCGATTGCCCTAAATCCCCGTTATTCGCTTCCTCGGAACCTCGCTCCGGGTCGCCTTCTGCGCGGTTTAGCTCGTCTTGGGGAGAACGCGCAAGGTCCCCCATTCCCTTCCCCTCTGATCACCGCCTAAAATCGCCTCTCTCGCGCGGTTCCCCCGCGTTCCGCTCCCCTTCCGCGCAGTCAAGCCCGTCCGCCTTCCGCCGGCTCTCTCCTTCCCCCGATCCTCCCCCCTCCGCGCACCTGTCCCGCCCGAAATCCCCTCTCCCCGGCGCTTTTCGTCCGCAATCTCCCCTTCCCGGGTCCGCCCGCCCCAGATCCCCGTTGCTTGGTTCCGCCCGTGCTAAATCTCCGATTCCTTGCACCTCCCCCCGTAACTCTGACTTGGCATCGTCACGAAACACCCCCGCTGGCAATGCTGCCGCTGCCGCTGCTGCTGTTGCTGCTGCGACTAGCGTGAGTATTCGCGCGACCCGCGAGTCCCTTAGGACTATCCCGCGCAGCAGTTGTGGCAGCGCTACCAGCCGCACGCACGACGCGCGCGCGGAGGACGAGACCCGCGCTTGCGCCTCCCCTGGCGCGCGTCCGGGCGTCCGTTCCGCCGTCCGCCTCACCCCTTCAACTTCTGGTCGGGAGCCCGCGCGGCCCGCGCCATCGACAGTCAGCTCCGCCTATCCCAGCGGTTTCGCCGCGCCCGCCAGCAGCAGTAGCAGCAACGCCAACGCCTGCGCTCTCACCTCTCCGCCAGCCACTTCCGCGCGATGCTCGTCCCCTGCGCTGCGCGCGCCAAGCTCCGCGTCCCCGCCTTCCGCGCCATCGCGTTCCCCGTACTGCTCCCCCCAGGCGCAGGGTCGAGAGGTACTGAACGGCGGAGACGAAAGAACGAGGGGGGATGCGGAGCGGACGTACTATGGGGAAGACGAGGACGAGGGGGGGGTAGTTGAGGTGACCCGGAGCTTGACAGTCGACAGCGGGAGGCGGGGACGCCTGGCCGCTGCTGCTGCAGCCGCGCGGGCGGAAGTCGCGCACGGGGTGGAGAGCGCGAGGAGAGGGGGGAGGGGGGCGGAGGCAGGTGAAAGCGGGGGAATGGGCGGTGGAGGGGGGATGCCAGCAGGGACAGCGGCAGGGGCAGGGGTAGAAAGGGGCACAGGACCGGGGGGTGGAGTTGGTGGGAAGGTGGGAGGGAGGTTCAGCAGTGGGTTGTTAGACTTCGGCTCCCCAGGGGGCGGGCGTGGAGGTCAGCAGCGCAGGAGTGGTCTGGGTCTTGTTCCTGGCATGTCTCGCTCCCTCACCACCACCTCTGTTTCCTTCTCTGGTGCCCGCTCTGCCCTCTCCAACTCCTCCCGTGCTGCTGCTGCCCCTTCTGCCTCTACTGCCTCTACTACCCCTGCTGCTGCTGCCGCTGCTGCCTGTCTCCTCTCTCCGCCTGTCTCCCTTGCCTCTTCCCCCTTCGGTTCCCCCAGCCGCCGCTCCGGAGCCTCTGCCTCTGGCTCCGTCTCTAGGAAGTTGCTGCACAAGAGAACGCTCTCCATGGGCAACCCGCGCGCAAGCCGGTTCCACACGGTTGAGTCCGTTCTAGGGGAGCACGCCGCGTGGCAGACTGACGAGCAGCAGTTGAAAGCGCTGCTGGGGCTGCTGGAGGGTGGGGGCGAGAGAGGGGAAGGGGGGGCGGAGGGGGAAAGGGGAGGGGGAGATGGTGGGGAGAGGCGTGGGGGAGGGGGGGGGGGTGTTGTGGGGGAAGGGTATGAGGCGTGTATGGCGGAGCAGGATGAGGTGCTAATGAAACGGCTCCCCTCGGCTGTAGAGGTGATGGAAGGAAGGGCCAGGGGACGGGAGAGGGAGACTGGCAGGGGGGACAAGGAGGCGGGCAGAAGAAAAGGGCAGGCTGTGGGCGCGGAGGTCAGAGGTTCGGGCAGTAGGGAGGCTCAGAAAGGGAGCAGCATGGGGGGATTGGCGGTAGGGCTGGATCCTGAAGCGGGGAGAGTAGGGGGGTCGTTGGGTGCAGAACAGGGATGCAGGGATGTGGGATCCTGTGGGCAATCATCCCCGTTAAGGAGAAACCCGAGTTTGCCTTCCACGAGAGAAGGAGCACAGGTTTCACCGTCACCAGTACAGGTGTCCTCCCCTCTACAAGCGCACTCGTCCCCTGGTGTGAGACGAGCAGAGAGATGGGACGCGTGGCAGAGTGGGGTTGGTCGGTACTGGGTTGGGGATGTATTGGGGGAGGATTCGGAGAGGGCGAAGACCCCAGAGAGGAGGGTGGGTGGAAGAGCACGAACGCCGGAGAGAGGAAGGACTCCAGAGGGTGTACAGGCTCTTGGGAGAGTAAGAGCGGCAGAGAGGTTGACAACACCGGAGAGGGGGGAAACGCCGGAGAGATGGAAAACGCCAGAGAGAGGGAAAACGCCAGAGAGAGGGAAAACGCCGGAGAGGGGGAAAACGCCGGAGAGGGGGGAAACGCCAGAGAGATTAAGGGTGGGAGAAAGGCAGATGTCAGAGGGCGCAGCAGGAGCAGGAGGGAAGGCAGGAGAGGGAGCAGGAAGGGGGGCTGGAGCCGACGCATCAGGAATAGGGGCTATGCTATTGAGGATAGCAGCAGGTGGTGATGCAGACGAGAGAGGAGGTGAGAGGCGTGCATCAACGGGCCGGGAGGATGAGGCAAAGGAGGAGGGGAGAGGGTGGGGTGAGGCGAGGGAAGCCGTTGCTGCTGCACCAGCCTCCTTGGTTCTAGACGCTGGTGAAACGGCGGGCGGGGTGGTGAGGTGCATGGGGATAGAGAGAGAGGGGATGGGAATGGGGATGGGGAGGGAGTTGGGCGAGGCAGAGATAGAGGCGGAGTGTGATGCGGTGTCGGGGGGGTGGACATGGCAGCATGGTTGCTGGAGCGAACGGCATGGTGGAGTGAACACGCTTGCCGGTGCCGGTGCTGGTGCTGGTGCTGGTGCTGGTGCTGGTGCTGGTGCTGCTGATCCCTATTCCCATGCTCGTGATGCCCCACCTGCTGGTGCTGCTGTTGGAGGTTTGGTGGGGCCCGCAGCATCTGAACCCGCTCCCCAGCATGCTCAGTACGGCATGGATGGGATGGGGGGGATGGGTGGTACATGCACCATGCATGGCATGCCTGGCACCCTGGACAGTACAGGTGGCATGCATGGCATGCCCGATAGGGATGGGTGCTGTTCAGCTGCTGGCTTAGACAGAGCGGAGGAGAGAGAGGAGAGTGAAGAGTGCGGCCGTGCACATGGGCACGGGTACACCGATGGGGTGGAGTGCGTATATGATGACCTTGGGGATGGAATAGAGGATGGAATAGGGGATGGGGATGGGTGCAGGGAGGAGAAGGAGCATGCGCACGAGCAAGCACACAGGTATTGGCATGAAGCTGCTGCTCATGGGGATGCGTGCATGGGGGGGCATGAGGATGCGGCAGAGGGGTTGTGGCATGGGGAATGTGCTCCTCCTGAGGAGATGGAGTTGGGAGGCGGTGTGAGGCATGGGTATGGGTATGGGTATGGGTATGGGTATGGGTATGGGTATGGATATGGAGTGGTGGTGGACTATGAGATGGAGCTGGTAGACCATGACGAGGAGGAGGCAGCAGCACAGTACGAGGAAAGAACAGGGGGGGGGGATGTCGGGCGGCACGAGGAGTATGAGGAGGATGAGGAGGTGGAAGAGGGGAGAGAGGGGGAAGATGGGGATGGGGACGAGGACGACGAGGGGGGGGAGGTTGATGTGGTTGTGATGAGTGTGGGGGAGGGAAGGGATGGGGGGGAAGGGGGGGGAGTGGAGGAGGGTATAGGAGCCGATGGCCAGCCACTGCTTGGGAAGAAGAGCCTGAGTGCTCCTGCTGGGTCTATGGCTGCAACCGCCTGTGCCTCCCTGGCTGCTGTTGGGCTCCAGGAGGTGGGGGAGGAGGGGGAATGGGTGGAGCGCAGAGAGGAAGCAGCGGGAGAGGGGGAGGAGTGGGGAGGGATGGTGGAGGGGGAGGATGAGGAGGAGGAGGAAGAGGAGCCGGAGTTGTTGAGACGGAAGAGTTTTGGAGGGCGGATGGGCAGCAGCATTGGGAACAGCTTTGGCGCCCTGTTGCGGAAGAGCAGTGAGTGCCGCGTGTGTGCCGTGTGTGTGCGCCGTGTGTGTGTGCCATGTGTGTGTCCCATGTGTGTGTGCCATGTGTGTGTGCCATGTGTGTGTGCCATGTGTGTGTGCCGTGTGTGTCTGCCGTGTGTGTCTGCCGTGTGTGTCTGCCGTGTGTGTCTGCTGAGTGTGTCTGCTGTGTGTGCCGTGTGCCCTGCTTCCCTGCCCTCTATCCGCTTCTTCAACGCCCTCACACCACCACACAGCAGCGAGGCCCACTACTCACCTCTGTCTCACTCGCTCAAAATCCCCAATATCTTCCCCTCTCCCAACTCCTCCCCCCCACACACCCCTGCCCCCCCCCCACCAGACACACCAACCATGATGGACCACAAACCGCCCCTTTTGAGTCGACTCAAAGGTCATCTCCCCCCCAACTCCCCCCCACCAGACACGCTAACCAAGATGGACCGCAAGCCGCCCCGCCCCCTCCCGCTCCGCTCGCTCTCCATCTCCCGTGCAGCCTCCGCCTCGCGCAAGGCCGCCTCCGCCTCCCGGAAAGCCGCGTCCGCCATCGCGCTCGCAACCACCGCCGTGACCAGCCTGGGCCGCTCCGCCTCCCTCCCCTACGAGTACGAGTACAACGGTATCAACCAGCCCAAGCGCGTGCACTTCCAACTAGCAGAGCTCCAGCTCGCGACGAACTACTTCAACGAGGACAACGTTCTCGGGCAGGGGGGGTTCGGGACGGTGTACGGGGGCGTGCTGCCGGCGCCGCCGTTTGAGGAGGTGGCTGTGAAGGTGCTGAAGCGCGGGTCGACGCAGGGCGACGGGGAGTTTGTGACGGAGCTGGAGCTGCTGTCGCGCACGGAGCATCGGCACTTGGTGAAGCTCATGGGGTTCTGCATGACCACCACGCAGCGCATGCTGGTCTACCAGCTTGTTGCTAATGGGTCGTTGACTGATCACCTCACAGGTTCGCCCGTCTGTGTCTGTGTCTCCGTGTATGGGGGGATTGGGGAGAGAGGGTTATGGTGGGAGAAGGGTGAAGGGTTGTGTGTGTCTGTCTGTCTGTGTGTCTGTTTATTGTGTCATGTGTTTCCAGTGATCATGCCACTGTCCTATGTGTCATACCTTCCCTCCCTCCCTCCCTCCCTCCCTCCCTCCCTCCCTCCCTCCCTCCCTCCCTCCCTCCCTCCCTCCCTCCCTCCTCCCCAATGGCCCCTCTCCACCTGTCTGCACACGGCTGTCCGCTGGTCCCCTGGCAGGCAGAAAGCGGGCTGAGAACGGCCCTCTGCCGTGGGAGCGGCGCCTGAGAATAGCCATAGGAGCGGCCAAGGGCATCCGCTACCTGCATGCCCAACGGCCGCAGGTGATTTGCCCCGCTTTTTCTCCTGATCGGTCGCTCACCCGCAGCCCCCGATTTTGCAGGGTGTTTTTGAGAATTCTCAAAAGCTCACCCGCGGCCCTCGACTCTCCTTACCCCTGCCCCACCAAAGTCGTTTTTTCCTGCTGTCCTGCTGTTCTCCTCTGCTCTCCCACCCCCACCCTCCCCTCCCCTTCCTCCCCACATCCATCTGATCCTTTGCAAGGCTCCCTCCCCTGCGTGCGTGTGTCTCAGTGCTTCCTCCCTTGCTCCCTCTCTCCCCTTCCCGTCTCTCCTCTCTCCTTTCGCCCCTCTTGCTTCTCCCGCCCTCCCTCCTGTGCCTCGCAGATCCTCCACAGAGACATCAAGGCTTCCAACATCCTCCTTACAAACAGTTTCGAGGCTAAGGTAAAGCTTAGCCCCCCCCAACCCTGCTCATGAAAGCAAGTCACTGTTTGCGTAGCCCCACCTCTCTACCTCCCTCCTCTCTCCCTGCCCCCTCCCTCCTCTCTCCCGCCCCCAGGCAGCTAACTTTGGGTGTGCGAAGCTGATAGGCGCACGGAGCACGTGGTGAGCAAGGCCACTGGGCGTCATCTCCTCCTGCCCCCTTTCCCTGCCCCCTCTACCCTCCCCTCCCCCACCCCCCTCTCTCCCCGCCCCCAGGTGGCAGACTTTGGGTGTGCGAAGCTGATAGGCGCACGGAGCACGCGGTGAGCAAGGCCACAGGGCGTCATCTCTCCACTGCCCCTCTCTCTCTGCCCCCTCTCTCCACTCTTCCCCCTTCCCCCCCTCTTCCCCCAGGTGGCGGACTTTGGGTGTGCGAAGCTGATACGGCGCACGGAGCGCGTGGTGAGCAAGGCCACTGGGCGGGCGGAGGAGCGCCTGGTGGAGTTTGTGGACCTGGGCGTCGGCACCATCGGCCACATGGCGCCAGAACTGCTGCTCGAGGGGGAGATCAGCGCCGCCTCCGACTGCTTCGGGTGAGCGGACTGGGTGTATGCCCCTCCCCCCCCCTCTTTTTCTCCTCTCCCTCCCGTCCCCCCCTCTCTCTTTGAGGCACTTGCACATGCCCAAGTGCATCCCTATACACATGGCCATGTGCTTCCCTATATACAGACCGGCATGCATGCCCATACGGATGCCCCCCTCACCTTCTCCTAATCCCTTTCCCTCCCCCCCTCCTCTCCCTCTCCCTCTCCAACTTCCTCTCCCTCCCCTCCTTTCTTCTGCCCCTGTCAGCTTTGGAGTGGTGCTGCTGCAGCTGCTGACAGGCAGAGAGCCAGTGGACTCAGACAGACGGCCGCTCGTCAACTGGGTACGCATGCACGCCTGCTCTGCCGCCCGGGGACGCAGAGGGATGGTGGTCTGTGGGGGGGAGGGGAAGACAGATGTAGTGGTAATCGTGTGGCTGGGGGAAGGTTGGGCCGGTTGGAATGGAAAGAGGGAGGGGTTGTGAACTGGGCAAAAAAGGAAAGCACGCGCGTCTCCCATGTGTCCCACCCACCCTCTCCCCCTTTACTTCCTCCCGACATTCGCACACGCCCACTTGAATGCATGCATGCACGTCGTAACCTCCTCCCCCCCTTCCCTCCCAATCTCCCTCCTCCCGCTTCACCTTCTCGTTCAATCCCATGTCCTCTCCTGTCTCCCCCTCCCCTTCGTCTTTCCTCCCCCACCTACCCCGACCCTCCCCCAGGTGCAGCCCTACCTGGAGGAGCGGCGTTGGGACGAGCTGATCGAGCCGTTCCTCTTGGAAACGATTTCGTAGGCTCCTCAACCCCCCCACCCCTTCCTCCCCGCTCCCCCAGGCGCAACCCTATCTGGAGGAGCGGCGGTGGGACGAGCTGATCGAGCCGTTCCTCTTGGAGTCTCGCCCGCCAGCCCGCCACGACTCGTTCCACTCCTTTGCGCTGCTCGCGCAGACGTGCGTCAGCTTCGACCCGCTGCTGCGCCCGCCCTTCGACCTCGTTGCCGCCACGCTCGAGCGCATCCTGCAAGGTAAAACTTGTGAACACTGAACACTGGCGCCCACCGCCCACCCATCTTTGCTCTCCGTGTGCTTATGAACTGGGTGGATTTCCGCAGTTCCTGAATGGCCTCAAGGTGCATCTCTGTGTCCTGCTTGGGACATTTCCTGCTCCCTGTAGTCTGTTGTTGATACTGGCTTCCCGAAACCAGACTTCCCCAGGCTGTCCTTGTGTCCTGACCCTTGGTTTTTCCTCTCCTCTGACCTCTGTCTTGTGTCCCTCGCGCTTGCACCTCCCTTGTCCTGTGATCAAGAAGAGCCCTCACAGCCAACACAACCATTCATTTTTCTCTCTCTCTCTCTCTCTCTTTGTTTCTCCCGGTGTCTCTCTCCTTCCCTTGTTGATGCCACAGCTGACAAGGAGAGTGCCTCCCCCATGCCTCCACCATCAGTCCGCCGATCTCTCTCTCACTCTCCCTCACCCTCACACTCGCATTCGCACTCGCACTCACACTCACACTCTCACTCGCACTCCTTCTCTCGTTCTGCAACCACGTCTTCAGCTGGTAAGGGTGCTCAGGTTGTCCCTGCGCAGCAGCAGCAGGAACAACACCACCAACAACTACAACAGCTGCAGCAACCGCAGCAGGAGAAGCAGCGCAAGGCACTGGCTAGTACTAGGTCACTGGCTAGAAGTGGGAGCGACCCCTGTTCTCTACTGACTGCCGCTCCTGGCGCTGCTGCTGCCGCTGCTGTGGCAGGGCTGGTGGCTCATGGGGCCCAAAGCATAGCACGGAAGCGCAGAGAAGGCTGTAGCAGCACCGGGCACAGCAGGGGCAGCAGCAGGGGCAGTATCCATGCTGCTGATGGAGCAAGAGGACAAGCAGACGCAATTGCTGCGACTTCTGCAGACACTGCAGCTGGCACTGCAGCAGCTGCTGCTGCGCCTGTTGCTGTTTCGGTCTCGGGTGGTGCTGTGCAATCGAGAGCGGAGGAAGTGAGGCGGCTGATGGCACTGATCGAGGAGGGCAACAGTGAGAGGATCGAGTGGGGCGAGACCCTGTCACGCGTGCGCGACGGCACACAGCAGCAGCAGCACCAAGCAACAAGTGACCTTGTGAATGCTTGCGATGGTAGCAGTGGCAGTATGAGTGGGGCGGTGAGCAGTGATTTTGACAACAGTAGGAGCGGCACTGTGTGCAGTGATATCAGCACTGGCAATAGTAGCGCTAATGGCTATTCTTGTGCGGGTAGCAGTAGCTTGAGCACAGGTTTGAGTAGCCCTATCGATACCCCTGCTGCTGCTGGGAGCTTGGAGTGTGCTAGCAGAATAGACCCTAGCAGAGCGAGTAGCAGCAGCAGCACCAGTAGTAGTAGGTCAGCTAGCAGAGACAGGAAGAGCAGATCGGGCAGCAGCAAAGGCACTAACTGGAGCCGGAGTAGCAGCAGCAGCAGCGTCACCACCACAGTCTCCGATGCCTCCATCGTCAACAACGGCTGCAGTAGCAGTAGTAGCAGAAGCAAGGGCACAGGTGCCTCTCTCCCTAGGAGCTCTAGTGTGTCTGCCAGCAGTGGCAACAGGAGAAGCAGCAGGGTGGGGAAAGGCACGAGTGAGAGCTGCAGCAGCAGCAGCAAGTGATGATGGTGATGACGAGGGGAGGGGCACATGTGCAAGTTAGTGGCGGGAGAGAAAAGGGGCGATGCAAGGTATGGTGTCAGAATGTTTTAGGGACTGTGTGCTCCAAGGTGAAGCAGCAGCAGCAGCAGCAGCAGCAGTAACAGCAACAGCAGCAGGTCTTCAAATGTTCTAGAGTCCCTGCTCATATGGTCAATGATCAGCTCAGCACCCCCATGTTGGGAGGTTAGCGGGTCTGCATGGAAGTTGGAGCATCAATGTACATCTAGTAGCCAAGCCAAGCCATTCTATTGTATTTATAGCTGCTATGGTGTAGGATAGTTTAGGGATTGCATTCGTGTTTGGGTTGTGCCATATTGCATGTAAGTAGTATTTTAACATGTGTATGATAGGTATTATGTAGGTTTGGCCGTATCGATTCCTTGGGTGGTAGATGTCAAACATGTTTATTTATCATGTTTGTATAGACCGTATAGGGTAACCTCCTAGAGGGTACAACATTTAGGTATATGTGCATGTACTCTCTCTCTCTAATCATTCAATTCTAGTTCTGAGATGGTATCACGCGTAGGTTTCGACCCCCCCCCCCCCCCCCCCCCCTACCGCTTCCGCCCCTATCGTCGCGTCTCCTAGCCTAGCCTCGCCCCTCCTGAGCCCAGTCGCGACCCCCCCCCTAGCCCCGTCGTTCTCCTCTCAGGCCCCGTCGCGCCCCTTCCAGGGCTTCGTAGCGCCCCTCCAGGCCCCGTCGCACCCCTTCCAGGGCTTCGTAGCGACCCTTCAGGCCCCGTAGCGCTCCTTCCAGGCCCCGTCGCGCTCCTCCCAGGCCCCGTCGCGCCCCTTCCAGGGCTTCGTAGCGCCCCTCCAGGCCCCGTCGCGCCCCCTCCAGGGCTTCGTAGCGCCCCTTCTGGGCTTTGTCGCGCCCCTCCTGGGCTTGGTAGCGCCCCTCCTGGGCCCCGTCGCGCCCCTCCCAGGCCCCCATCGCGCCCCTCCCTGGGCTCCGTCGCGCCCCTCCTGGGCCCCCCCCCCCCCCCCCCCCTTAGCGCTCCTCCCTGGGCCCCGTAGCGCCCCTCCTGGGCCCCGTAGCGCCCCCCAGGCCCCGTCGCGCCCCCCCTCCAGGGCTTCGTACCGCCCCTCCTGGGCTTTGTCGCGCCCCTCCTGGGCTTGGTAGCGCCCCTCCCAGGCCCCCGTCGCGCCCCTCCCTGGGCCCCGTCGCGCCCCTCCTGGGCCCCGTCGCGCCCCTCCTGGGCCCCGTCGCGCCCCTCCTGGGCCCCGTCGCGCCCCTCCAGGGCCCTGTAGTGCCCCTCCTGGGCCCCGTCGAGCCCGCTCGGCCCCGTCGCCCCAGCTCGGCCCCGTCGCGGCCGCTCGGCCTCGTGGCGCCCGCCCGGCCCCTGTCGCAGCCGCCCGGCCCCTGTCGCACCCGCCCGGCCCCGTCACGCCCGTTCGGCCCCGTCGCCCTCGCCCGGCCCTGCTGTGTCCTGCCCGGCCCCGTCGCAGCCGCCCGGCCGCGTCGCTGCCGCCCGGCCCCGTCGCAGCCGCCCGGCCCCGTCGCAGCCGCCCGGCCCCGTCGCAGCCGCCCGGCCCCTGTCGCAGCCGCCCGGCCTCGGCGCTGCCGCCCGGCCCCGTCGCAGCCGCCCGGCCCCGTCGCAGCCGCCCGGCCCCGTCGCAGCCGCTCGGCCCCGTCGCGTCTGCCTGGCCCCTCGTTGCGCCTGCCCGGCCCCGTCGCGCCTGCCCGGCTCCGTCGCGCCTGCCCGGTCCCGTCGCGCCTGCCCCGGCCCTACATACTTCCCGGTACTGTCCCCCGTTCCCTGCACCACTTTGCACCCTCCTGCACTTCCCTGCTCCGCCTTGCACCGCATTGCACCTCACTGGACCGCACTCCACCGCACTGCCCTGCACTCCAACGTCCTACACTGCCCCTGATGGCTGCTGAGCTTCGTTTTGATGCTGAGGGTCAGCCTCTGTAGTTCGAGGCGTGGCTGGCTGACCTTCGCCGCCACCTCACTGGTCAGCGGCAGGACGGCCACCCGCTTTCCGACCACCTAGACGGTATGCTCCCCTGCCCTGACCCCCCTGCTGTGCTGCCCGCTGATCCCACGCCCGCTGAGCGCGAGTCCACTGCCGCCGCTGCCCTTGCCCGCTCTGTCTGGCTTTCCCGCGATGCCCTTGCTCAGCTCGCCATTAGCAATGCCCTCCCCCCCCTGAGCGCCCTCGCTTTAGAACCATTACTACCGCCCAGGCCTACCTCGATGCTGTCATCAAGCGCTATTCTACCCCTCCTGCTGCCTCAGTGGGTCGCCTGATCCTCCCCCCTGCTCTTTCCTGACCTTGCGTCTTTCCCCACTGTCTCTGACCTCGCTGCCCACCTGCGCTCGATAGATGAGACCTGGCGCGCTGCCTGCACTGATGCACAGCTTAGAGCCCACCAGCCCCCCATGACCTCTACCCTCTACCTCCTTGCCACTCGCCTCCCTGACCGCCTTGCCGCCGCCCGCGACCAGTTCCTTAGCATCCACCCCGCTGCGCTCACCCTCACCGACTTTGTTGACACCCTGACTGTTATCGAGACTCGTCACCGCTCCATCGCCCAGGCGAGCGGTACAGTACCGGTCCCTATCTTTCAGGGTTGTGCCCCCGCTCAGTGTACCTTCTCCGACGGCTCTGTCGCTGTGGCTGAGACTGCTGCTGCAGTGCAGTCCCGCTCGGGGAAGGGCCGCCGCCCCAAGGTTGGGAGCGGCAGAGGCGGCGGGGGTGCGGGTGGGGGTGGTGGTGGAGTCGGGTCGTCCGGTGCCGGAGCGGACGTGGGGACCCTGCCCAGTCCAGCTGCCCCGCTGCCTCCACAGTCGCAGCAGCAGCAGCAGCAGCAGCAGCAGCAGTCGCCGCAGCCGCAGCCTCCGCAGCAGCCGCAGCACCCGCCGCAAACGAGGCAGGCGAGTGCCCTCCCGCCTGGGTGGCCTGGAGCTGGTGGTGGTCGTGCGCGTGGTGGTGCGCCGGGTGGTGGTTCTGGAGGCGGGCGCTGTCAGTACCAGATCCAGACCGGTCCTCGCCGCGGCTTCGTTTGCGGTAAGATCGGTCATTCCACTCCTCGCTGTTTTCGTCGTCTGAACGACCTGTTCCGTCAGCGCTTTGGCCCGGCGCCCGACCTCCCGGACTGGCACAGCTTGCTTAGGCGTAGCATTCAGATTTTTGACTTGGACATGGATGCCATTGTAGCAGCCTTGCATGTGATGTATGCTGATGACTCTAGTGTGCTTCACTCTTATTACCCCGTGTTGCCTAGTGTAGATGTTCCTAGCGTAGACTCCCCTGCTGCGTCAGGCGTAGGATCTCCTGCTTTGCTTAGCCTCGGTGCTTCCACCGCTTCTCTGCCGCCTCGCGCGACTGCTGCGCTTTCCTTCACCTTGGACTCTGGCACCTCCGGTGTTTCTTCCGCGACTCCACGACGCTGACGCCGCTGCCTGTTCCCGCTGCAGTTACTCTTGCTGACCCCTCAGGTGGTCCAGTCGTTGCCCGCAGTTCCACCTCCCTTCCCTGTCCGGCGGTTCCTTCAGGTTCGCTCACAGGTCTGCATCTCCCCTCGTTCTCCAGGAACCTAGTTGGTGTCGGCTGCCTCCAGGACCTTGGCGTCACCACTACGTTCCCTGGTCACGAGCGGTATGCTGTCTGTACCGAGGCCGCCACTGGTGCCCCCCTTACCACTTTCCCCCGGGACCCGGTGTCCGGCCTGTTCACACTTGACACCGCGACTTCCCCGGCTGGGTCTTCCCCCCAGGTCGCTGCGTCCACCCAGGTTGCTGCTGCGTGCTCCTGTCGGTCCCTCACTCACCCGACTCTCCTTTGGCACCACCGCCTTGGTCACCCTGCACTCCCGCGTCTGCGTCACATGTCCCAGCACGGTCTCGTCCTTGGTCTCCCCGGTTCGTTCCCCGAGTTTCCCTCCTCCCCCGCCCCCCCGTGCACGCCTTGTGTCGAGGGTCGGCTCCGCCGTGCCCCTCACTCCTCCTCGTTTCCCCCTACCACCGCACCACTGCAGACTCTGCACATGGACGTCTGGGGCCCAGCCCCCGTCCATGGGCCGCGTCGCGAGCGCTTCTTCCTAGTGCTTGTCGACGACTTCACGCGCTACACCACCGTCTTTCCCCTGGAGCGGAAGGCCAACGTGCCTGACGTTCTCATCACCTGGCTTGTCTCTGCTCGTGTCCACCGCGGTCTCCCTGCCTTGCGCCTCCACTCCGACCGCGGTGGCGAGTTTGCCTCAGGTGTCCTTGGTCGCTTCTGTCGTGCGGAGGGCATCACCCAGACGTTTACCCTGCCGGACTCCCCGCAGCAGAATGGGGTCGCTGAGCGACGCATCGGTTTGGTCATGGAGGTGGCTCGCACCTCCATGATCCACGCCGGTGCACCCCATTTTCTGTGGCCGTTCGCCATGCGCTACGCTGCTCACCAGCTTAACCTGTGGCCGCACCCCCAGCGGCCGCAGGTTTCGCCGACCCTTCTGTGGACCGGGTCCCCTGGTGACGCGTCTGCGTTCCACGTCTGGGGCTGCCTTGCTCACGTTCGTGCCTCTGGCACGGACAAGCTCACTGCCCGCACCCTCCCCTGCGTCTTCCTCGGTTTCCCCCTTGACGCGTCCGACTGGCACTTCTACCACCCGCCGTCTCACCGCTTCTTTCACTCTCGCGACGTCACCTTTGACGAGTCCGTCTCCTTTTACCGCCGCTTCCCCCACCGTGGTCCCCGGTTACTCCCCCCCTGTTCCTGGTCACTCCTTCCCCGGTGGTCCCTGCCCCTCCCCCCCCCCGCCCCCCGTCCGGCCCCCTCTGGTGTGTCTCACGTCACCCCCCTCCCGTCGGTCGTCCCGGTCGTCGAGTCTTCTGACTCTGGTAGTCCTCCGGTGCAGTCCTCGCCGTCTGTCCCTCCCCCGGTGTCTCCTCCTCCACCGCCTCCGCAGCCGCCCTCGCCGCAGCTGCTGCAGCCGTCGTCTCCGCCGCCGCCGCCGTCACAGCCGTCGCTGCAGCTGCCGCCGCCGCCGCCGTCGTCGCTGCCGCTGTTTGTGGGCCCTGGGGTGTCCCTTCTGGGGGTGCCGGTGTGGAGGGTTCGGGAGGTAGCCGTCGCGCAGCTTGTGGCCCTGGTGTTGGTGTTGTGTCGCCGCACCAGCAGTCCCCGCCGGTGTCCGCCCTCCGTCTGCTCGGCCTTCCGTCCACTGACCCTGCGGCCTGTTCCTCTCCTGCCGTCTCCTCCTCTTCCCGTCTACGGCCCCGTGTTCCCTCCGCCGGACTCGTCCCCGGCTCGTTTTCCCCCTCGTTCCCCCACCAGTGTCCCCTCCTCTGTCTCCTGACCCGACGCCTCCCTCTCACGTCTGGTCTCGCCGCCCCTCCCGTGCTCGTCCTGTCTCCCCGTCCCGCGCTCTCACCCTATGTTGCTCCGTCCCACGCGT